TGTGTGTGTGTGTGTGTGTGTGTGTGTGTGTGTGTGTGTGTGTGTGTGCATATTTATGAAACTACCCACAGGCTTATGCTGCCTAAGGACCATTTAAACAATTAAAGGGCGTTTTTTAAGCACAACATTTTACATATACAGTAAGCATGTATTTCTTACTTATTACCGGGCTGATTTGTCTGGATTGAACTTTGAGCCTTGCATAAATACATATCTACTGAGTTTACATCTTCAGTTGATGCTCCTTGGCATGTCTAAAATAATCAATCCACATTCATCTGAGTGCTATGCTGAGTGTCTGCTACTTTATTCACATTTAACAGAGTCAGCTGGCATATGCTGAAGCTTAAGAATATTTTCTTATAAATCGGTGTCACTTAAGCAGCTGACAAGATGGGGATTTCATTTATGAAGTTCGTTCATTGCAAGCTGCATAAATTTTGCCCGAGCATCATGTTTGAAAAGCTAAAATCAAAATATTCTGCTGGTTATTTCAAAATCCAATGTGATCGATTCAGTTTGCAAATGTAACAGAGCGACATGTTCATGGAGCTGAGGTCACTCTGTAAAACTGCACAGCTGGATATGCAGATGTGGACATTTTGGGGTATCTTGTGCAAAATGGAAACCTTTAATTTGGAGGGAGATTAAATTCTCACCAACTCTGCAAACATCTGTCTGGCTCTCATTTTGGGTTTGTGGCCCTATTTCCATTATGTGGCACAGCCTGACTCAGCAGCAGATAATTGACCTGCACGTCTGCAGAAGTCCAGCATGCTTCACTTGTCCCATAATGAACAGATTTTTTGGTTAATTGAACATTATACAGATGTTTTATCTTGGATTGAATATCAGTGTTCTGCAAAGCAAAGTTCCTACTAAGCCTTTAACAGCGCAAAAAATATTTCACAAACAGATAACAAGCTAACAAAACATATTGGAAGCTACTAATATGTTTTTCTATAAAACAATCAGCTACTAAACTTGGAGCCATTACATTGAACCTCTTTTTAACATGGAGTGGTGGGCATACTGGTACAATTGGATGCACTATCGGATTTTCAATAGAAGTTTTTATTAATTTATTTTTCCAGGTCCAGATGGAGAGCATCACTGGTCCAAGCATTATCCATACTGTGGTGGTGCCTTCCAGTCTCCGATAGACATTAGGTCAGAACTGCTGAGGTTCGATCCAACTTTACGTCCGATTGAAGTTCAGAACTACAACTTGCCACCAAATGAGCATCTCACTCTGGGAAATAACGGACACTCTTGTGAGTATAAATCAACAAAAACATTAGAAAGTCCACTTGTGGCGAGTTACAAATTGTGAATGACACTAAGCAAACATACAATTGTGTTTGGATTCAAACGTAAAAGTTCCTGAAATCAAAGGGCATTCAGTTGAAATGGCCACAGACAAATGTAAGCTAATTTCTTGGCCAGCACAAGGAAAATGAAGGGAGGATCATCCTTCTACAGTGACCTCAGTCATTTTCTGTAATCACTCTCTTATTATCTTAAAGAAAGAGCTCTGAGTTGTGCCTGGGAAACCTCTGCCTCTGCTGGAACTGGTGAACAAATGAAAGAAACTTGCTTATTTTTTCATTTGAACCTGTATTTTCTTGCAAGCCGAACATACTGCAGACAAATATTCTCATGTGCCTCAAGTGCTTTGCATTAAGCAGGATTCTGCAGAGCTGCTTTGATGAACATCTGCCAGAGCACATCGCAACTTTTCAGTGACATTTGTGCTTAACATGCAAGCAGCGTCTGCCAAGTCACATTGATGACTCGTTCTTGAGAAAGCTACGTAAATGAACTGCAAATGCTTATGTGTGCACACATGACGGACCTTCGCACCACAAGCTGAGAGACACTGTTGTGTGACGTGCGCTTGAAAGGAGCTGACAAAGGTTTTAACCTGCGTAAGCATTCGTGACACGCTGATGAACGTGCCAAGTGCAACGTACATCACTAAACCTGCTTCAAATGCAGCCACATGACTTTGACTGACCTCCTCCGTTTAGATCAAATTAATGCCTCTTGATTGCTGTGAAGGTGACTTACAGTCGGCTCTTTGACATGTGTTGGGATTTATTTTATTTTATTCCAGTGCAAATATCACTGCCCTCACGGATGTTCATCTCCAGCCTGCGCCATCGTTACGCTGCAGCTCAGCTTCATTTCCACTGGGGCTCCTCTGGTCAGCCCACTGGTTCTGAACACATGGTGAACAGCAAACAGTACGCAGCAGAGGTAAACAACAAACAACGAATCTTATCAATAAATATGCTAAATTAGCTACCATGCGTAAGTTTGGTAAAGTGGTATGGTATAAGTAGAATTTCAAGAATTAACAACATATCATAATCATGCTTATGTTGATTTCCTAAATAACTTTTTTATTTGATTTTTTAAATTATATTTTTATTTGCCTGGTTACCTTGTAATTTGTTCAGCCAGATTTTTTGTCAAAACGGTTAATTCCAACGGAAAAGAGAGAAAATTAAATTGTGATGATAGAAAATCCCACCGCAAAGGAACCAGATAAAAATGTAAATTATATACTGAATGTGATCGCTTACATCGGTTCACATTCCTGCACATCGTCTTAACTTTAGACTCTTTAGACTCGATGCACTTTGTGTGACTTTAAAAGGGACAAATTCAAACAACCTGATGAATGGTTTGACATTCACAAGAACTACTAAAAATTAATAAAACATTTAGAGGCAAAATCTATTATAGAAAGAACCTGAAACATTTACTAAATAAAAATGGGTTATAAAACTAAACTAAGCTAAAATTAAACTGTTTGTTTCACCTTGATAATCTTAAAATATGTAAAAGTCAAAGCAAATATATCATGTTTTCATCTGCAGATGTGCTAACATCATGTTTGGTCAAGTAAATCCACATTTGGGAATAATTTTAGAATTTGCTTTAACAAAAATCAACACAAGCTGACAAGAAACTTTGAATAAAAGTCACAAGAACAACATAGTATGACATCACTCTTTTTATTCTACTTTGACCCAATTTATAGATCTAATTTGCAGAGTTGTTAAAAGTTCAACATTTTTCTCTTTTGAATTTTTGAACAACATAATTTACACCAATCAAAGTTATGCAGGGATGTTAAAATAATCCCACCCAACACTAATGTGTACATTTGGATGTGATAACAGTCATGTGCACATGCTTATTAATTAATTTATTAGCTGTTTCAGGTGACAGCATCTTTGGAAGCAGACAAACAATTTAAGACTTGATGACATTTTGACTGTCAGAGGAATCCGAGACACCGACAGCGTTTAAAGCTGACGCAGCTCATGAGGAAGAAACTGAAAAGTTTAGCATCTGTTACAGTCTCTTGATGATGCAGCAAACGTTCAGTTTATATTTGTCAGACTATAACAGTAAGTGCTTATTGTGCATCTTACATTTTATTGCTGAAACAAATCTGTGAAACACAAATGCAGTAAAATGCACTAAAAATAACGAAACAATTAAAGATACTTCTGTGTTTAAATAAACCTTCTGCTAAGATTAGACCAAAGAAGTTTGTTTAAATGTTCACTTTTAGCTTCATGATATTTTGGTCCATTGCATCTCTTACTGAAAAGCAGACATAAGTCAGCCTAATTATGCTGCCCAGTGCGTCTGTGTCTTATTCCTGCGGGGTTTCAAAGGATTAAAGTACCAGACAATTACATGTTATGGTTTTTAACCACCTTTACAGAGGAGTGTCTGTCTGTTCTCTTTATGGTGCGAGCTGTATTCACCAAATAGTTTACTTTGGGAATTTAGCTTAAACTGAAGGTCCAGTAGAATGACCTACGTACAAAAGGTTAAAGTAGCTAAATATTTCAAACATTTTTTAAAGGTTTGAGTCACAGTAAGTAGAGGACGCAATATGTGTGTTTATATGTCACTGTGCTCCAGCTGCAGTGCTGCCACATGTGCGTTTCTGTGGTTAGAGCGGAGTTTCTTACTGGACACAATAAAAACATGCATGTTTTTAGGTCTCTTTAGACTCAGAACCACAACTCTAACTAAAAGGTTTTTTAAGGAATGAAAAAAGAGAAATTTAACATTTCCCAGAAACAGTGAGAATATATACATTACCGGTAGTCTACATTTGCAATGTCATAAATTTGACCAGAGTGGTTGCCCTAAAGAAAAAAAACTTCTATGAACACTGCATCAAACAGCCTGGTATGTAATTATAGTCTTTATTACAGTAGTCCCTCGTTTATTGCAGGGGATCTGTATCCTGAAGCTCCACGATAAGTGAAAAACCATGAAGTAGAGTTGCACTCGGGTCCAAATAATCTGAACTGACCTGGCCCCAGCCCGCAGCCATCATCTCCAAACCTCACCCGATCCAAATAATTAACAGTAATTACAGGTCCGAACCCAGAAAATATATATTTTTTAAATTAGTTATTAACTGTCGGGGACAATAGCTGATTAAAAGCGGCAGAAGATTCGGAGCTGATGGGGTGTTTGTACTTTCATGGCCGTAAAAAAGCATTTAAACCCCGTTTCTGCCAACATTCTTCAGAATTACTGAGACACGCGGACAGCTCTGACACACATGTCTGCTTCAGGATACACCTGCCGTCGGGGATGCGTGGCTGTGTAAGGTGCAGATTCGGAGCTGAGGGTGTTTGTCCTTTCATGGCCGTAAAAGAACATTTAAAACCTGCTTTTGCCTGCATTCTGATTTATTCACAGACACTGCTCTGACACACATCTGCTTTGGGATCTCACCTGTTTGAGTCATCGGCCGCGCATGTCCGCTGAGTGCAGCGGCTGAATGAACGTCCATTTGGGCGATGGATCGCTTCCTGGCAATACAGTCCCATCTGAAGCTTAACTGAACTTTTTACCTCTTTCAAGGCCGGTCAGCTCACAGTGAAATGGCCGTGTGTGGCTGGTGGATGTGTGGAAGGCCATGTTATCATATAATTGGATCGTGGCTGATCCTGACCTAATTAAAAGCCCGAGACTGGCCCGGCCCGCCCATTAATCACACTATAACGGCCCGGCCTGGCTCTAATCCGAGTCAGTCTAGGCTGGGTTTCAGGTTTGAGTTAGAAATGACAGCTTTACTCTGGTGCACTCTCGGCCACACCCACTTCTCCGCTTTTGCACGGAGATCAGCTGATCAGCTGATCTTGTGCAGAGCAGAGATCAGCTGATCAGCTGATCTTGTGCCGAGCAATCAGCTGATCTCGTGCAGAGCAGAGATCAGCTGATCAGCTGCAGGAGGAATCTTCTCCCACAGCTGTGGGCTGCACACAGGTGCTAAATATTTTTAAATAATTTATTTTAAATAAAAAATCCATGCCGATCGTGCAGCTCATCCACCATTCAGCCATTCTGTGGCATGTCCAATCTTACTTTGAAGAACTGCGATGGAGCGAGTCAGTGGAAAAATGAACTGCGAAGCAGCGAGGTACACATGACACTGTACACATTTCCAGTGGATCTTTACATATTTCACCTTGATTCCACAGATGCATGTTGTACATTACAATTCGGACAAGTATCCCAACATATCCATGTCTGTCGATAAATCGGATGGTTTGGCTGTGCTTGGTGTGCTGATTGAGGTGAGTTTATTTTGAATGCATGAACTGAGACAAATGATTGAATTTGAGGAGTAAAAACCATCTAACTATGCTTTCTGTTAAGGTTGGGGAGTTTAATCCAGCCTTTGAACACTTTCTGAAGTTTATCAATGGGATCAAATACAGACGTGAGTATAAAGTAATATTGTATTTTATATATATATATATATATATATATATATATATATATATATATATATTATCCATCTGTATGCCTCTTTTATAACTGTCTATTGTTGTCGTTGTTGTCCATTGTTGTCATCACTCTTTGTTGAAATCAGGTCTCTCTTGTAAATGAGTCCTCGAGGCTCAATGGGATTAACCTGTCTAAAAAAAGGTTGAATGAATTAAATTACTCCTCACTCACTAATTCCCCTTGCCACAGGCCAGAGACCAGAGAGGCCAATCATTGAACAACCCAAAATTGGCTAGTTATTTCAGCGGGCTCCTGACCTCCTACCAAAATACTGTTTCAGTGGAAACACTCCAGAAATCCTTGAGTATGTTTAGATAAACCAAAATTACAGAGACTTCAGAAAGACCTTAGGCATTTGGTGACACCAAACACCTCCTTGCAGAGACGAGTCAGAGTTCGTTGAGCACTCATTGTGCGACAAATGGTGCTTTCTAAGAGACCAGCTTTGACCAAAAATAAATAAATAAATCCCAGAGTTACCACAAGAGTTCAATGAGAGACCAGTGAGAAATCCTCAGGCAGCATGTATGATCACTTAGTGCATGGTACAAATACAAGGAAATTCTGGTGTTCTTCCATCAGACAACATTTTACTCTCTGACTAATGCTGAAGAAAAAAAAAATCCTAAAAGTAAATCAAAAAAGGAATGGTGCCCTCCTGATTGGTCACCAAGCACTCCTCTAGACCCAGATGGTCATTTTGCCTATCACAAGAGGGTGATTCAGAAGAGCAAGAAGGAGACCAAGATTATTGGCCTTCCTCTGGCTGACACTGTGGAGAAGGTTGTAATTTGGTGACTACAGCCAGCAAATACAAGAACTGAGGCTGTCAGAAGATGAGGAGGGAGGGCTTCTACAACTACCTGCACATGGAGTCAGCTGTGTTTGATGAGCTCTTGCAAATTGTTGGCCTTAAAATCACTAAAGCTGATACCAACAAAAAGAAAGTGCGTAACCAGGATTCCAGTTGGCTATGTCCGTGTGGTACCACTACAGGTACCAAAGTGTCAAAAAATTCACCAAAAATGTTGCGATCATTTGAAAAGTTGCTAAAATGTTTGTATCTCTGGTGAAAGCATTGAATGCTCATTGTGAGATTGTTGAGCATTTACTGAAAGACAACAGACCATGGAGATCAATGTGTTCATGTAAAGATCTCTAACAAATCATTGGAAGACCTCGGAGATAATTCAACGCACTGAATAACCATTGAGAGATCTGGAAAATTCTATGGACACCCAATGATCTCTAAACAGTTTTATCTCTGTGCAAAACGGGTATAAGAAATGACCGTTTTAGCATTCAAGTAATTCAAATAAGCCATTAGGGAGCACAAGACAGTGTATTTCTTGTGCCGGTTCCAAGTCCGGGTAAATGATGAGAGTTGTGTCAGGAAGAACATCTGACGTAAAACACTTTTGCCAAAACTAATATGTAGGTTCATCTAAGAAATACCATACCAAATAGGTCAAGGCTTGGGTTAACAAAAACCACCACCAGTGTTGTTGACAAACTGGGTGAAGACAGAAATTGTGCTACTGTTAAATACCACAAGGAGGGAAATGTGTCATGAGACAGAGGGCGAAAAGGAAAGTTAAGAATGTAGGACTGAGAGGGTGGTAACTCTAAATGTGGGGACAATGACAGGCAAAGGTAGAGAGCTGGCTGTCATGACGCAGAGAAGGAAGGTAGATGTTTTATATGTCCAAGACACCAAGTGGAAGGGCAGCAAAGCTCACAGCATTGGGGCAGGTTTTAAACAGTTTTACCATGGTATGGATAGAAAAAGAAATGAAGTAGGGGTGGTCCTGAAGAAGGAGTTGGCAAGGAATGTAGCAGAGGTGTAAAGAGTGTCAGATAGGGTGATGTGTCTAATGGTAGAAGTAGAAGAGCTGATGCTAACTGTTGTCAGTGATTATGCTCCACAAGTTGGACGTGATGTAGAGGAGAAAGATACAATTTGGAAAGATCTGGATGAAGTGATAGAGAGTATTCCTAGGGAGGAAAGAGTGGTGATCGGAGCAGACCTGAATGGACATGATGGTGAAGGAAGCAGAGAGGATGAAGAAGTGATGGGTAGGTTTGGTGTCAAGGAAAGAAACCAGGAAGGACAGATGGTGGTGGATTTTGCCAAGAGAATGGAAATGGCTGTAGTCAACACCTATTTCCAAAAGAGGGAGGAACATAGAGTGACCTGTAAGAGTGGAGGAAGGAGTACGCAGGTCAGCTAAATTCTGTGTATAGAAGAGGTAACCTGAGGGAGATTGGGGACTTTAAGGTTGTGGCAGGGGAGAGTGTGGCCAGACAGTATTGAATGGTTGTGTGTAGAATGACTGTTGTTGTGAAGAAGAAAAAAAGAGTAAAATTAAAGAAGACCAAATGGTGCAAGCTGTGGAAGAAATAATGTTGTAAGGAGTTCAGAGAGGAGCTGTTAAAGGCTCTGGGTGGTAAGAAAGAGCTTCCAAATTACTGGGCTACTACAGCAACATTATAGAGAGGCAGGTAGGAAAGTACTTGGTGTGTCATCTAGACAGAGAATGTATGATATGAAAACCTGGTGTTGGAATAGTGAAGTGCAGGAAGCTATTCAAAGAAATAGGTTAGCCAAGAAGTAATATGACAGTGTGAGGACTAAACAGAGGAGACAGGAATATAAGGAGATGTAATGAAGAGCAAAAAGGGAGATGGCTAAGGCAAGACAGAAGGAATATGATGAGCTGTATGGGAGGCTGGACACTTAAGATTGCGAGAGGGACTTGGCAGGAAAGGATGTGTAGCAGGTTAGATTTGTTAAAGATAGGAATGAGAAAGTTCAAACAAGTGAGGGGAGTATGATGGGAATATGGAATGGGTACTTTGAAGAGCTAATGAATGAAGAATGAAGAGAATGAAAACTAAAGAAAAGTAGAAGTCATAGAAACTGTGGACCAGGAAGTGGGAAAGATTAGTGAGGATGAAGTTCGGGAAGCTCTGAAAAGAATTAAGAAGGGAAGGGTAGTAGGACCTGATGACATACCAGTATAGGTTTGGAAATGTCTTGGAGAGATGGCAGTGAGGTTTTTGACTCAGACATTCAATGGCATTGAGGGTGATAAAATGCCTGAGAAATGGAGAAGAAGTGTGCTGATGTCCATTTTTTTAAGATCAAGGGTGATGAACAGAGTTGTAGAAACTACAAAGGAGTAAAGTTGAAGAGTCACATAATGAAGAGCTGGGAGAGAGTTTTGGAAGCTAGACTTAAACAAGAGGTGACTATTTGTGAGCAGCAGTATGGTTTCATGCCAAGAAAAAGCACCACAAATGCCATCTATGCTTTGAGGATGCTGATGGAGATGTATAGAGAGGGTCGGAAAGAACTTCATTGTGTCTGTGGATTTAGAAAAAGCATATGACAGGGTGCTGAGGGAGGAGGAGTGGTATTACACAAGGAAATCTGGAGTGGTAGAGAAGCATGTTAGACTAACATATATGAGGACAGCAGGACAGTGGTGAGATGTGCTGTACGAGTGACAGATAGCTTCAAGGTGGAGATTGGATTGCATCAAGGATCAGTCCTGAGCCCCTTCTTGTTTGCTTTGTTGATGGACCAACTAACAGATGAGGTCAAGCAGAAATCCCTATAGACTTTAATGTTTGCAAATGACATGGGTGAGAACGGGGAGAGAACATAAGACTGGTGGAGGTGTGCATTTGAAAGAAGAGGAATGAAAGTCAGCCATAGAAAGACAGTACATGTGTGAATGAGAGGGAGGCAAATGGGCTACAAGGAACAGAGATCACAAAAGTGCAGGACTTCAAGTACTTGGGGTCCACTGTCCAGGAAAATGGGGAGTGTGGTAAAGAGGTGAAGAAGAGAGTCCAGGCAGGATGGAATGGATGGAGAAAAGTTTCAGGGGTGATTTGTGACAAAAGGGTGGCAGCAAAGGTCAAAGGAAAAGTTTACAAACAGTGTGAGACCAGCCCTGCTTCACTGGCCCTGGAACGAGGCACACACTTTTTTCTTCCCTCTCCCTTTTCTTCTCCTGCTTTTGTTGCTCTCTATCTGTGCATTGGAGCTCCTATTTTTACATATCTTCCAAAATGAAAACTACTGTTATGGATCTGACCAACTGCACTTTTGACGCAAATGACAAAATCTTTTCAACAAAGTGACAGGGTCCTGGAGAACCCTCATATCTGCTCGGATGACACGCGCAGCTGGATATGTCTCTGGGGAAGTGGAATGTGATGTGTCTATCTCTGCTGTTGATCGAGGATGCCGAAATTGCATATAATTGAATTTATGATGACAGGTTTCTTGTTTTTGGAATTGTCTGGTTCCTGGTTTATCAACATACAAAGAAGACGGCCACAGCTAATTTGGACCTCGTCAGGCTGCTGCCTATGTGAAGGTTTGGTTTGTGCTTTGAGGACTCAAAATCAGCTGATTTACGAGCTTAAACCGTAAGATGGAAGTGATTTGAATCGCAGGCCAACTGTGGCTTTGGGACTCGTCAGCAAGAAAAGACCTTGAAGAGGCTTGCAAGCATGGACCAGTAGAATGCACCCTAATCTGGCCATTTCGGGTCTTGAAAGTATCAGTAAGACTCCAGGCTGATAAGAAAAATAGTCTGCCTGAATAAATCAACAATTGTGGATTATCTAAATCTGACTCCCCGTATGGCCTCGAAACAGGTCGACATATCAATTTCTCCTGGGAAATGTGGAAACTAAGGAAAAGCTTTGTCTATCGCAATCCCCCCCCCCCCCCCCCCCCCCCCAACTTCTGTGGATGCTTATCAGAACTGTGCTGGCTGACCATCATCTTATCAGGACAATGGACTATCTGTCAAATGCATATGTAACATGTTCATAATGTGCTTGCTGGCAGAGTTTTTTTGATGTCTTAAATCGTGTCCTGTTAGGACAAGGTGTGAATAGATATTGTTTTGTAATGCATCCTCTCCTCATGGCTTTGTTCCTTTTTCTATCTAAAAATGTATTCTGAAAAGGAAAGAAGGCCACACTATCAAAGCAGCAACTACGTGCACTCTGTCCATTTTTCGGACGACTGTATGGACATATTCTTGTTGTATTTTGGTACAATGATAATAAAGCTTATTCTGATTCTGATTATATGTTGTATGGTCTGGAGACAGTGGCATTGACAAAAAGACAGGAGACAGAACTGGAAATGGCAGAAATGAAAATGTTGAGGTTCTCCTTGGGAGAGACAGTGATGGCTAAGATTAGGAATGAGATCATCAGAGGTAAGGCACATGGTTGGACAACTGGGAGATAAAGTTAGAGAGGCCAGACTGAGGTGGTTTGGACATGTCCAGAGGAGGGACAGTGGGCATATTGGTAGAAGGATGTTAGAAATGCAGCTGCCAGCAAAAAAACAGAGGAAGGTCAAAAAGGAGATATATGGATGAAGTTAGAGAGGGCATGGAGGTAGTTATAGGACAGAGGATGCAGAGGACAGCGTGAAATGAAGGAAGATGGCATGCTGTGGCAACCCCTGAAGAGGGAAAAGCTGAAAGAAGAAAAAAAAAGTTAAAGTAATTTGACCTGAGAAGAGCTACATTTAAGTCAGAGTCAGAGTCAGAGTTTCTTTATTGTCATTCGCACCTCATGTGGTACATGTGGTGGAGCGAAATTATGTACACAAGGTCCCAGTTACATCCAACAATAAAATGTATAAGAAAAACAGTAATAACATCTAAGATATGAACTAAGAACAACATCAACTAAATATACACTAAGCACTCATAACATAAAACATTGAACATCAGCACAAACATGAACATGAGTCTGTGAGCAGATGTGCACGCATGAACACATCAACATTGAAACAGATCAGCAGCAACATGAAACAGATCAGCAGCAACATGATATGGTTTTTCACAGTGATTATTCTATTATTAAGGTGGGGCAATGCAAGATTTGTTGATCTTAGTTTGTTTCACAGCTGTAATATTTGAAAGCATTGCTAAAGCTCCTCGTCCCCCTGACTATTCCCATGACAGTGTAAAGAGAAGATTAGTTCGGAAATCACTCTTTGGCAAAACAAAGTGGCATTTTTGTTCATTAAACCACTGATGTCAGATAGTTTTACAGCCTTTATATTGTAAAACTTGAGTGTTCTTAGGGCTCTTTACTTTATTAATGCCATACATTTTAACTGAGCTTGAAGTGATTTTTTACGCCTTAAAGTGTAATCAATCTGGAACAATCACGACAATTATCTAAGACAATAAGAGCTTTGATTTGTTATTTGTGTCTTGGTTTGATGTCAGTTTTTCTCAAAGCCTCATTAACTCAGTTGTGTGACCATAATGAATTTTCATATTTCATTTGTTGCTTTTATCATTTCAACCATCAGATCAAAAAGTGCAGGTAACTGCTTTCAACATTCGAGACCTGCTGCCTGCACGTTTGGATGAGTATTATCGCTACGATGGCTCATTGACAACCCCCCCCTGCTATCCGAGCGTGCTGTGGACGATTTTCAGAAATCATGTGACAATTTCACAAAAACAGGTGCTATAATTGTTTCTGCAAGCTTTATTATATGATTTATTCATAAAATTCAATGTGAAATTGATGGGTTTTTAATACATTAATGCTGCTTGTTTGTTCCATTTGCACTTTACTTGTGTTCTCTTGTTTTGTTGTGTGTTTTTAGTTTTTGGCCCTGGCAACAGCCCTGTACTCCTCAAATTCCCAGGACTCAGCACATATGCCACTTGAGAGCAACTTCAGGAAACCACAGTTGGTCGACAGCAGAATTGTCCTGGTATCTTTTAAGGATGGTAAGTATGAGAAGCCAAACACATTTGCTTTATTGTTGGCGCATGAGTGGAATGTGTTTATTTATTCCTTTGAAGACCTTAGAGCTATCCTGCTGGCTTTGGCTTGATCAGTATCTTCTGCTTGTGTATGTTCTTTATACTGACAATCTTTAAACTTGGTTGGCACTGCTTTATGACATATGCAATCAACCACAGCACTTTCAAACTAAAAAACACTCAACAGATTGCTTGACTTGTCAAAATAAGGTAATCAGACCTGTTTCTGTGGCAGACATGCAAGTTTTCCTCATTTTCAGTGTTTCTTTCTAAGAGCTACACTTTTCTAATGGCACGTTTCGCCTTGGCAGTTTGGAATCCTTTGCAATTAACTTTCCCGAGCAGCGTTTAGCAAGTGATGGCTCTTGCTCATACTGCATCACCAGCAGTGTTGCATGGCAAGGATGAAATCCCAGCATTGTTCCAAGGAGTGTCCAACAAGCTGAATCAACATTGGCTCTGTGTCTGATGCAGGCAGAGGACTGCAGGGTACACATGTGGTCACACCTCCACTCATGAGGAAGCACATCATTCAGCAACTGCTGGCTGGTGACCTTGCAGACTTGGCTGATGAAGGGTTGGATCAGCTCCTACCCAGTGGTTCACAGAGGCTTCGTGCTGGCAAGAGGAGCAGGCAGAGTGCGACTCGGTCCAAACCCAAACAACAAACTTTGAATTCATCTCTTGGGAAGAAAAGTCAGAGCAACCGCCACGTGGGAAAATCTGGGCTGGCTAAAAACCCAGTTTGTTATACCTCACTGGAGCAGAGAGTTTTGCATCGGCTTCAACAGTCTCACGCTGAGAATCAGCTGGTTGAGTCTCTCCGAGATGAAGTGTACCCTGAGCTCAACCTTAAAAGCTACCTGGACTGTAAGTCCGACTTAGCCCTCCTTACTATTAGACACATTCTCAGAGGACGACCAGCTGATGAGGTTTCAGAGCTAGATCCCTACCTGACCAAAGCCTTCATGCAACAAAAGAAGACTTCCACAACTCTTAGGAAAGGTGGGACCACAACAAAGCAGGGGGGTTCTTCCACGGCTGATTCAAGGAAACGGCTCGGTCAGAGTTATCCACATGCATGGCTTTTGCCAATGGAGTGGGAAGACTAGAGGGATTCCTGACAGAGCTCACTTTGTCCTTTTTGTAGCCAGCAACAATTGTGTCCCACAATGAAAGGTCCTCGTTTCATAAATCTGCCTTTGTTTAATGTATTTAAAACTAATTTATTCAAAGTTATTTAGCCATTTAACTGCTTTTCGTCATGAACAGTTCTTGAAACTGTAATTAGATTGTAAATCTGATAAGTTGTGTATATTTGCATATTTACTGTTGGCTGTAATGTCATTTTAACCTTATTATAAAAAAAAGTAAAAATTTTATGTGTGGAAACAGCTTTACGTTAATGTTTACATGGTGGCACAGCACATAACTCACAAATGTCTGTCTTGTCAACACAACTATTGTATGTTTTTTATTAATTTAAAATCTGTTTTAATGTTCATGTTTAGAAACACCTATGGCACAGAATCTGTCCTATGTAATTATTCTGACAATTTATTTGATTTCTGGAGATCTTCTCAGGACCATCACTTGCTGTTTAGTGACCCACCGTGGGGTTCTGACCCCAGCTTTGGGAAACTACTCTTCTACAAAGAACCAGGTTAATTTCTAAATCTTGTTAACTGCAATACCTATACAACTCTTAAAGAGCAAATAATAGAGTAATTTTGTAAAGGTATAATTAGATTTTTATATATTTTTTTACTTTATGTACCTTTTATATCTTCTGTATTTTAGAGCATTAAAATTTTTTTTAGCCACAAACAAGGAAACACTATAAAGTTGGGAATTTTTCTAATTTCTAATAAAATAATCATATTTGAATCAAAGATGACGAGTTTCTTTGAACAAATAAAATTTGTATTTTAATGATTATTTTAGCTAAATTAACACATTTTCTACATTTCAGTTCTGTGCAGGGTGACAGGAGTTCCTGTTCATCTTACTTTATTGCAGATCTCACACGGACTAGGATAAACCAGACTTGATGACAAATTTGTGGTTGACTTTTATGCTTAGTGTATAAAGCATGAAAAGCTTTGAGTATGAATTCTTGTAAGCAGCGGTAATAATTGAAGAACCAGTGTCTTACAACATGAACAAGTTCAGGACCGATTTCCTCCTGCAGCAAATTAAGTTGTTCTGTAACAGAAAGCGTTAGCACTCTTTTTGCAGTCAATCCATGGGTATTCATAACATCTTATGCAATAAGCTCTCAGAAATTGGTTTCTCAGACCACACTATCGGTTGGTTTTCTAATTATCTCTCAGATCGGAGGCAATAATGTGTTCAACATAATGGTACTTTTTCCAACTATTTAACTGTCAACAACATTGGTGTACCACAAGGCTCAGTCTTAGGACCCACCCTCTTCACAATCTACATAAGTAATGTAGGTCAGATCATTCCTGATGCATCCTTACATTTCTATGCCAACGACACAGTTGTCAAGCTAGAACAGTTGCTAAGGTTTTCCAGCTTTTACAATCTGTACTCGACATCAACCAGTCAGATTTGTTTCATCTCAAACTAGTGCTAAATGCTGATAAAGCCAAAGGGATGTTGTTTTCAAACAGGAAGTCAGTACCAGCAGTCCTTCCTTCTATCTTATCTACGAATGGTGTTCCTATTGAGTTTGTCAATTATTACAAATACTTGGATATTTTGATCGACTCACATCTCTCTTTTAAGCCTCATATTGAAAACTTGGTAAAGAAATTGAAAGTAAAATTGTGTTTCTTTTTCAGAAATAGATCTTGTCCAACTCTGAATGCTAGGAAATGCCTTGTAACTGCTACTTTCCTTCCCTCCATTGACTACGGTGACGTTATTTACATGAATGCTCCTGCAAGCACCTTGCAGATGTTGGATGCTGTCTATCACGGTGCGCTAAGATTCATAACTGGCTGTAACTACCATACCCATCACTGCATCCTGTATTCACTGGTTAACTGGACATCATTAACTTCATGCAGACTCTCACACTGGTACATTTTCATATTTAATTCATTCCTTGGTCTGTTGCCTTCATATATCTCCTCCTGCATGTCACTTCATCAGTGCAGCTTCAATGTGCACGCCCAAGACATCATTACCTGCAGCATCCCCTGAGTGCAGACCAAATTTGGCAAAAGGGCCTTCTCTTACTCTGCCACTGTAACCTGTAACACCTTGTAAAAAGATCTGAAGCTCTCGACTTTGACCTCTCTCTGTTTTTAGTGTTTTACACCATTTTATAATGTAACTTGTTTTTATTTCATTTTATATCACTTCTTTTATTTACCTTTCATTTTATATGCTTGTCTATTGTTGGCTGTACCTCATCTGTGTTCTTTGTTTAAAACAGGTCTCTCTTGTAAATGAGTCCTCGTGACCAGACTAACCTGTATAAATGAAGGTTGAATGAATGGGTAGAAGTGTAGCAGTACAGTGTTAGTTATCTGGGCTGGGGAAAGGCTTTTTCAAAATACTCTCAAAACTTGAGATCAGTGTTGATTATATGAGAACAACTGGACTTTTAAGATAAACAATTAAAAATGTCTCCAACACCGTGTCAAAAATCCTTTTATCTGTTCTGCCTTGTTTTGGTGTTTGCTCTTTAAGTTTCATTGTCACTTTTTTCTCTCTCTCCCTTTCTGATATTTAGATGACCTTTTCTGGATGAACGGTAAGTTTCTTATTCTAAATTTGTGAGCCTTTTCCTACCCTTGAACAAGTTGTTGTAACTCTCAGATTACACTGTATGTTCCATCCAGAGGTCTTACCTTCCTAACATGTTATTTCTGCTTTGGATTTCAAACACACCCGCTAGTTAACGCGATAAACAAACTCAGTAACTAGCCATCCTTGTTTTGTCTAAAGAGATAATTAGTCTCCACTTTAAACCACAGATATAAAAGATACGCCGCTTCATGCTAATTACTACACAAACTTTTCTTGCTTCTGTTCCTCCACCCTCTGTAGGTTTACTGGTTCCTGTTTTGGTGCTCTCTGCACTGGGATTTGTCCTGGTTGTCTCTTTAATTTGCTGCCTATTAAGGCGAAAAAGGCGAGTGCAAAACAACACACCAAAACAAAATACTAGACTGAAAATGATCTGAGAATAATAATATTGATTTGTTGCATAGGTTTTCCACTTGTTAGCTTATCCATGTTAATCAAAGTCAGATCTTGTTAAATGGTTTAGACCTGTATTGTGTTTTTGTCATTTATTTTTTAACATAACTTTTCATGACCAAAAAGAGAAGGTTCTGAATGTTCTACTGTTCATAACTTTGTTAGTAATGGGACATCGTTAATTTACTGAAGTTAGGGACAAAGTGACAGACAGGCTTTGCCATGATGGAGACTGGGCTTGGAATTTTGTATTTGAAGTCTGAATTGGGGAAACTCCTTGAATAAGAAGTGAAGTGTACACAAAAAGAAAGTCCAGTTGCCTTTAATTGAACTTACTTTTAAATTAAATTTAGTTTTCTGGTTTTCTGCTTCAAACAGCATCAAAAATGAAGAAGCATGTGCTCATATATTAAGTATTATCTTGATAGTAAACCAATCTTTGTTCTCACATTCCTGACATTCATGGAAAACAGCCAGAAAAGAAAAGAAAAAAACACTATGTTCCTATGAATAACCCTGCAATCCCTTTCTTTCTGTTTTAGATCTGCTGCTGAACCGAATAAAAGCAAACATGTTGCGTATACCAATGGAGACAGAGACGAGTATGGCTCAAGAGTATAGGATTTTGTCCTGGGTCTCAGTTCAACAGATCTCTATCAGCACGTTGTCATTTCTCCGTATTCATTGTGTCATAATGATGTCATCCTTCATCCTATTTGAACATCTATTGATGCATGCAACATCCATTAATTCACTCTGCATTCAGTTCTAGGGTTTTAGGAAGCACATTTTCCTCCCCTTAAATCACAGAGAGGCATCTCTTTGCTGTTATGTCAGGCAGAAGTTGTTCTCCATGCTAGATGTTTAATGCTGTATGACGTCTTCCCTTAGAGGAATAGGGGGGGAAACTGTCCTCTCAAATCCTCCCTTCATTTTTCTGACACGGTGTGATGAGCTGCTCCACACAGAAGCTTCCAGGCAAGCAGACTGTAGGGCTACAACTAAACTGGTGTGAATCTCAGGTCAAATCAGATCATGGCACTCTTTCCACAGGGTTGTCCCGACACGATGGGAAGCACAGTCCAAACAATGGAGGGGTAGGAGTCAACAGCCGTGGCCTGAGAGGGACGGGCTGTACCACATGTCCACCAACCCTGTACTTAGAACTGCTCTATGGATTTCATAATAAAAGGGTGCTCAGAGCCATACAAACACAGCTCCTTCCCTGTAAATAATGCGGGGGGGGGGGGGGGGGGGGGGGCTTTTGTGTTTCCAGCCTGCATGTGGGCTGCCTCCTAACCCCAGTCTGATCACAAGACTCGGCACACCAGAGAGTCTGTCAGGGAGAATGTAGTCAGTCCCTCTGGTCAGTTATATCATCATTTAAACTGTCAGCCTACATCCATGCATTCATTTTAGAGTCACATAGATTTCTCTAAGTTCACAATGCTTTAAATTAATAAAAGATCATGAAAACTGGGGAAATTAATTTGTGAAATAAGCATGAGATGACAGAGACACTAAAGTAAAAACAGTGCAATGCCCTCATTAAAGCATTATTCACCAGTAATGCATTGCACTTGTTGTCTGCACATTGCTGCTTGTGCCAACATATCTCTGCTGACATGCTGTTGCCATGTTTTGTTTTGTTTTTTTACAAAAAGTCTGTGATGACATTTGTCAGGGTGTAGTTGTAACGTGGACTATTTGTGTGGTTGTTGTCAAAAGCTATTTTTATTGTGTTATTATTAATTATAAATACCTGCTATAAAAAAAAAATTAAAAACCTCAATGTGTTTTCAAATACAATAATTTATTTGTGTTTTATTGTCCAAAAAAAACCCACGTTATTTCCAAGTTCGAGTTATGTTTGTCATATGCAGGTTAATGCAAGGTTAACAGTACAATATGCTGGTGAAGATTCTCAGTCATCCAGGATATGATAAATTCAAAAACGTTCAATACAAAAACAACTAGGCTTTATTTGTAACATCTTGTTGTCGTTTGCATCTTCTCTGGTGAACTTGATGTTGTTATTGACAGAGTTAATGTATCTGGTGAACGTTTCTATTTCCTTGGCTTGGATTTTGACCCAGGTATCATCCACATATCGGAACCAATGGCTTGGCGTTGTTCCCTCAAAGGAGTTTAGGACTCTCTGTTCCACTTCCTCCATGTAGAGATTGGCAACAATTGGTGACACTGGAGATCCCATGGCACAGCCGTGCTTCTGTCTGTAAAAACTGTCATTGAACTTGAAATCCTCTCCAGTTCCAAAAATCTCACACCACAAGAAAGGAAAGCTGTAACATCACTCAGCCAGGACCAAAACATCACCATTTTACCAGCTGACAAAGGAAGATGCACAGTAGTCCTCAACACTTCTGATTACCAGGAAAAAATAACTACACTACTGAGTGACAGCAACCCCTATGAGACCCTGAAGAGGGACCCAACTAGCACCTATAAAAAGAAAGTCACAGATTACCTGCAAAAACTTGAAAAGGAGAAAACAATCAATCGATCGTTGTTTTATAGATTGTACCCGGGGGAAGCCACTCCCTGTCTTTATGGACGTCCTAAATAACACAAAGAAGGAACACCACTCAGACCAATCGTCAACAGCATGAACTCAGTGACATACAATATAGTTAAACATCTGGCTGGTATTTTAGCTCATCTTGTTGGAAACACACCTCATCACATAAAGAACTCCTTTGATTTTGCCAACAAAGTCCAACATTTGAAGCTAATCCCAGGGGAAACCCTTATATCGTATGATGTGACTTCTCTTTTGCATACCCATCTCTGAAGCAGTAGAAACTATCAGAAAACAACTTCTACAATACAAGGACCTAAATAACAGGACCAACTTCACCCCAGACCAGATCTGCACCCTGTTGGATCTCTGCCTCTCCACCACTTATTTCAAGTTCAATGACAGTTTTTACAGACAGAAGCACGGCTGTGCCATGGGATCTCCAGTGTCACCCATTGTTGCCAATCTCTACATGGAGGAAGTGAAACAGAGAGCCCTAAGCTCCTATCAGGGAACAACGCCAAGCCATTGGTTCCGATATGTGGATGATACCTGGGTCAAAATCCAAGCCAAGGAAATAGAAGCGTTCACCAGACACATTAACTCTACAACAAGTTCACCAGAAAGGATGCAAACGACAACAAGCTGTTACAAATAAAGTCCAGTTGTTTTTGTATTGAACGTTTTTGAAGTTAACAGTACAATGAAATGCTCAAGATGAGAAGAACCGATCTGAGTCGCTAAAAAAACAAAACAAATAACAAACCAACAAGAAATACTAAATCATTCAATAAGGGTACAAAAATAAAATACCAAAAAGTTAAAAAGTAATTATATTTACAAGGTCCTAAAGAGAAAATAGTAATCAACAACATGGTAGAATATAACGATGCAAGCAGGATGAATTTGTATGAATAAGTATTTCAAGGTAGTAATACGTATAAGCTAAAATGCACATGATATATATTGCACATAATTAGCATATATTACACAGTGTGTAATATATAGTGATGTTGTGTTTATGTCTGTTTCCCCCTGATTCTCCTTTTCTCTTTATAGGGTTTGGGTTTTTCTGGTATCTAGCCCCATCTTGTGTCGTGTTCATGTCTTGCATCCTTTCTCCTTCTCTGGCATCTGTGATTACTCATAGATGTCATCACTTGGTCTAATTGGTGTTTCCTGTATATAAGTCTGTGTCTTTGTGCTAGTCCTTGTCCTGGCATTGTTTATCTGTTCAATAGTGATGACCCGTCTGTACTGTGAGTGCCCCCTGTTCATTCCATGTTTTGTTTTGCTGCCATGTCAGCTCTTTTGTTCTGTTAATAAATTCTTTTTTTTACATATTTCTGAGTCCTCGCCTGCTTGCCTGCACCACTGAGTTCAGCAGCACCAGCCAATTGTGACACACAAGTTGTGTGACAGGTTACTAGACAGGTAGTGAGTGACACTGAGATTGAATTACGATGGTAAGATAGATACGCAGATACTGTATCATACATGATACAGCCAGCAGTGCAGCAGCAATAAATAATAAGCATATTAGATGTCACAAGCTAATATTAGTCATATTAGTTGTCACAGATGTGGCTTGGTGCAATGTTCTTGCCAGTTGTTCAATGTTATTTATCGAGAGTTCAGTAATCTAACAGCTTGTGGATAATAGCTGTCCTTTAGTCTTTTTGCACACGATGGTAGACTCCTGGATCATCTGCCTGAGGGTAGTAGACGGAAGAGTCCTTGTGCTGGGTGGGTGTGGTTCTTACTGATGATGCATGCTTTACGCAGACATCAGCTGTGGTAGATGTCCTGTATAGTGTGGAGACTGGTACCAGTGATGTCCTCTGCTGTTTGCACCACCCTCTGTAGTGCTTTCCAGCTCTGACTGGTGCAGTTCCCATACCACCCTGTGATGCAGCCTGTCAATAGGCTCTCAATGATGCACCTGTAGTGAACTAGGCCTGATGTCAAAACCTTGACCTTAAGGATCTTATGGGACAGAAACTGTCATTTCATTGATTTGAATCCAGAAATACAGGTTGACCCATCCTGAGACTTTCTTTCTTGAATTGATCAAGTGAAAGAACTCTCTTTTCTATTATCATTACTATTTTACAAATGTTTTGATAATCAAATTGTGTTAGTTCAAACAATGTTTAAATGTTGAAGTGAACTACTCATTTTTAAATCAACTGTGAAACAGTAATAATGATTCTTAATCCTCATTCAAAGTGAAATCAAGTTGGAATATGTTACAGAGTAATGATTCAATTTCTTGATCATCTGTTTGAAGTGAGCAAGTGTGTAAGTTGGTCAAAGTTCAAGTTTCGGTCAATTGCAAGTTTACTGAAAAAGAAATGTCATGTTTAACTTTTACAGCAAGATACTAGAGAATTGACTCCACGAAGTCTGAAGTTCTTCACAATATCTTCTGTCTGTTCTTAAACAATCTTAATCTTTTTCCTTGACTTTTCATAACACCTTACATCACAAAACACACCTCTGTTTTGGTCAATCGACCAATCAGAAAGTTCTCAAATGAACCGGAAGTGAGCTTCTTTAAAAAGATGCAACACTTCCTAGTTCACAGTGAATGAAGAAGTTCTGCAGTTCTGAAACTCAGCAGTTCCAGAGTTCATGAAGGCTGGAATTCAGGATGCTGATGAAAGAAAAATCAAGCTGAACGAGAGAAGATCTGGGAATTATGAAATGTCTGTTCTGGATGATCTCACGACTCCCGAGGTTTAGCTGTTCTTACGGAGACGCTGAAAGAGTTGAAAGGAGAGCTCTACACCAATGCTGAAACTATCATCTGTAAAGGTAAAAGAGTCGATCTCAACCAAAGCGTACCGTTGGGTCAAGCTGGAAAAGAAGGAGGGTGCTGTTTCTGGTTATAACAGACAAATTCCCTCCCCATCTCTCTCATACTTAAACTTCATTTCCCATCTTTAAAATTCTTCTATCTGCTAAAAATCATTACAGATATTTTTAGAAATGTCTGAAGCAAAATTTTTCAACCACCGCCGTGTGGTTAACGTTTGTTGCACAGCTGAAGTGAGAAAACAATCGCCGTATTGTTTACTTCCTTGTAAAACCTGCTAAATAAGATGTTGTTATTTTCAATTTTTGCCAATTAATGTAAATGTGTGAGGTGTTAAACTTGATTCTGTTAATAAATGACCCACTGTCGTTGGTGAGTCAAAGATAATTAACGTCTCACGTCACATTTCATTAAATTCAGATGCACGTTATTATACAGTCCAGAAAAATGAAAGAATCCGTTTTATCTATGAATATATGACAGCATATGTTCATTCTACACACTTATAGAAGTTTGTGAGGATGCTGGTGTTCATACCAAACTTCTTTAGTCTTCTTAGGAGGTAGAATCTTTGTCAGGCTTTTTTGACCACAGTGTTTGTATGTAGTGTTCAGGTATGTAATGTTCAGGACAGATCCTCAGTAATGTGAACGCCGAGGAACTTGAAGCTGTTGACTTGCTCCACCTCAGCATTGTTTATGTTGATGGTGGAGTGCTGGCCTCCACACTGTTTCCTGAAGGCCACTATCATCTTCTTTGTTTTGCTGACATTTCAAGAGATGTTAATTTCCTGACACCAGCTGGTCAGTGATTTCACCTGGTCTCTGTAGGCACTCACGTCGTTGGTGATGAGGCCCAAGATGGTGGTGTCATCAGTATACTTGAGGATGATGTTAAAGCTGTGCTTGGCGGTACAGTCATGTGTAAATAGTGAGTACAGGAGTGGACTGAGGACACAGCCCTGAGGTGTACCGGTGCTGAGGACTAGTGTGGAGGAGAGGAGACTTCTGATTCTCACTGCCTGTGGTCTGTTGGTGAGGAAGTCCAGTATCCAGCAGCAGATGGACTTCTCCAGGCCCAGTGTGGTGAGCCTGGAGACAAGTTTGGAGGGGCTTATTGTGTTGAATGCTGAGACGTAGTCAATGAAGAACGTTCTCACATGAGTGCTATGGGCTGACAGTCAATAAGGTAGAATGCTGAAGAGGTCTTTGGAATGGGAACATCAATGGAGGTCTTGAAGATGGTGGGAACAATACAATGGCTCAGAGACGGGTTAAAGATGTCGGTAAACACCTTGGTGAGTTGGTCATCACATTCAGCACCCGTCCTGGGATGCCATCAGGCTCTTGTGCCTTGTGAGTGTTTACGTTCTTGAATGCTCGTCTCACTGTACTGTAGCAGTGGCTAAACAGAGTGTGGTGTCCTCACTCTGGTCTAATTACAAATTACAAATACTTGCTGTGCAAAAAAAAAAAAAACAATGTGTTTTCAATAATTTATTCTAATTTTATTGTACCAAAAAAATGTTGTTTTTTTTAACATTGCATTTCTTATAATTTTCACTGTATCGTTCTTTTAGTTTAGCCGTTCATCAAATAAAAATATAACACTACTTACTAGCACATTTTACACCTTAATTTTTGTGAAATACAAGACAGAAGCTGTTTCACGTGTTTTTCGGGTGTTGGACTGCACTGCCCTCTAGTGGCCAAAAAAATACACAAACAACGCTTTGTTTACTTCCGGGTTCTGCGTGACGCTTCTGAGCCAGCTTTCACGCTGTTTACGTCCTTTTTCATTTACTGTATTTGTTAAGCGTTTCAGAAAACGTTTTTTGCTTGTGTTTCGTAATGTTTCACCTGCCGGTGCTGAAAAACAGACGCACACTCCTCGAGAGGGCTGAGAAGTTCATCTCCGATGTTTATTTCACTGACTGCAATCTGAGAGGACGGTGAGATGTTCTTGCTGTATTCGAGTCATTACACTAGTCAGTCCATCATGGTTTTAGACATTCAGCTTGCAAACAGAGACATATTTAGGTTTATTTATGTGGGCCTATTCGCAGAACAGGTATTTTTACAATAATGTGAGCATTGTTTTTATACAGTCTAATAAGAATGTTGGTCCTTTACTGTCTCACTGATTTGTAATGTAATTTCTAAATTTAGGTGACCTCAAGTTAAAAACAATGATTCATCTCCTTCAGTACAAACATTAGTGCACTGTATTAAAAAATAAACCCTTATTCAATCTGAAAACAAGAAAATTATTGAATGGCTTTGCTGGAAAACGTCCAAGAGAGTAGAATAATAGTCTAAACATAAAAAAAAATTTGAAGAAGAGACGCAAAGAGCACTCCTCCCACAGACCAAAAACATGCATGTTAGGCTGATTGGTAACTCTGAATTGTCCCTAGGTGTGAGTGAGAGAATGAATGGTTGTTTGTCTCTATGTGTCCCTGTGATGGACTGGAGACCTGTCCAGGGTGTATCCCGCCCTTTGCACAGTGACTGCTGGACATGGACACCGGTGACCCCCGTGACCCAAAATGAAAGAAGCGGGCAAAAGATAATGGATGGATACAAAGAGCAGAAAGGGTCATAAGAAGACAAAAGGAGCATAAGGAGACCAAAAAATGCATAAAAAGACACATGCAAGATAAAAAATACACCAACAGTGCATAAGGGGGCAAAAAGGATGCACAGAGAGGGAAACAACTACAACGACCAAAAGAGCCATAAGGAAACCAAAGGATGCAAGAAGAGAAACAAAAAAGTTAACATAGATTTCAAAACGTACAAAGTTTTTAAAGGATTTTAAGAGATCTCAATGCTTTTCAGTGAAAAATCATAGTGAATATATTTTAGTTAGGGGTGCACTGATAAATCGGACGATTTCCTTAATTTTGGGAAATCGGCTGATACTTGCATGAGAAACCAATTTTACTGATTTTTTTTTTTGTTTGTTTGTTGTAACAATTGTCTGAACTTCATTTATATTCCAGAGCACTACCTCATGGCCAGTTAAAACAAGTTTGTATTGTTTCTAGGATATTGTTCAAGAGTATGTTTTTCAACAAAATGGTATTGAAAAATTGAAGGTGCATTGTGGCCTTATAACACCTGACAGTGTCGCTTATAAAACAAAATCAGCAGGTCAGACTTTTTAGAAATCGGTGATCGGCCAGAAAACTGCAATCAGCGCACCCCTAGTTTTAATATTTCAAAAAGTACAATATTTACTAAAACCAATAGTTTCAGAGGTAGAATTCTAAACAAATTGAATGTTGTGATACATAAGCATAACAAAGTTAGTTAAAATACGTACAGGAGAAACAATTTGATTAAATTTGGTTTATTTATAAGTCAAACAGAAGTCGTCTCGGCACTGAACAGAAACATTCACGTACATTTAAAAAAGCCAATTATTAAAGTTATCTATGAATCTTCACTTCGTTGCAGTCTCCCATCCTGAGCGAGCACAAAGGCAACAGTGGAAAGGAAAAACTCCCTTTTAACAGGAAGAAACCTCCAGCAGAACCAGGCTCAGGACGAGTGGCCATCTGCTTTGACCGGCTGGTTTGAGAGGAACAGGAAGGAGAGACAATCACAGAATGGCAGGTCCAGGTGTACTTTCTATTGGAGGAAAAAACAAACAAACAAACAAAAAAACAACACATGTTAAGATGTAAATAATTACAAATACAAGGAGGTGGAGTAGAGCAAGTAAAGACAGCAGCAGAGTGAGGAAATGTGGTCAGTTTGTCCTCCAGCAGTCTAAGCCTACAGCATGTTTTCAGTTAACACACTACGTTGAGGGATAGCTCAGGAGACCCAAGCCAACCCTAACTATAGGATTTATGAAAAAGGAAACCAATCACGTGAACCCCAAGCCAGTTTTCACACAGTAAATGCAGCTGATCTTCTTTTTACGCACAATGTGAATGAGCTCTTCATGGGGTTTCCTCTCTATATAATCCATGCCTACATGTATTTTTAAAACTCTTCCGGGCAATTTGTAATTATAATGTATTATATTTGGTTGTAAAACTATGTGTGGCTCTGTTTTTCACATGACTCGGTCTCTGCAGGCTTTATGGAGAGTCTTGCCCCGTGGAAACCATCGCCTCCTTCCTTACCCCTGACAGAATCACTTTCAGCGAAGCCTCAACGCAGAACTTTGAGCCCTATGAAATCTGTGGTACCTTTGGACCGACGTAGGTGATCATTTTTCAGGCTTTTATGATCACGGACTCTCGAACCATCTCCAGTTTTTGGCTCTAACCCAATCCTGCTGATTGTTAAAGGTGGTGGACTTGCTGGTTTAAAGTGTCCATGACGATCCCTGAATCCTGGAGAGGGAAAGAGGTTCATCTTCTCTGGGAAAGTGATGGGGAGGGAATGGTTTGGAGGGATGGGCAGCCAGTTCAGGTAAAGTTAGCGGCTGCTTGTCTGTTAACTTTCACTAAATTAGTAGATTGAACCTGCGGAGTGTAACGTGACTCTAACTTGCAGGGACTGACCAAAGAAGGTGAAAAGACGAGTTATATCTTATCAGAGTGTTTGAAAGATGAAGAGCCCCACAGGTCAGTTCACTGAAATCTGACGTTAATGCCACTCCTGCCTCTTTGAGCCTTATTGTTTGCATTTATCTCTCTCCTCAGTGTCACCCTGTATGTGGAGATGGCCTGTAACGGACTCTTTGGAGCTGGTCAAGGGTCCATGATTGCAGCTCCAGACCCAAACAGGATGTTTTCTGTGCAGAAAGCAGAGCTAGCGATACTCAACAGGGATGTCCTAAAGCTGTTGACTGAATTTGAGATGCTTGTTGACATTGTTAAGGTACTATTTCTCAAAATGTGATGCCAACATTAGAGAGGGAAAACTAAGATGAATTTAAAATCTCAAACAGGAGCTGGGAGAGGGGGACCAGCGAGGCTACCAGGCCCTCTTCACAGTCAACGAGATGGTGAACGTCTGCAACCCGTTTGACCCCAGTTCGTTCTCCAAAGCTCACAGTCTGGCTCGCAGCTTCTTTAACCAGCGCAACGGAGAAAGCCAGCACACCGTCCACGCTATGGGTCACTGCCACATAGACTCAGGTCTTTGTTTTAGCGTATTTTGTCACTCATGCAGCATTAGCTGCTTAGTCAGTTCACTGAAGCTGCTGCTTGTAGAAATCTTTAGTTAAATGCTAAATATCTCATGAACTTGGACAGATCTGAATGAAGCTATCAGAGAAATAATCACTGGATGTTCATCTCCATTCATTCATTCAATCAACCTTTATTTATACAGGCTAGTGTCATTGAGCCTCGAGAACTCATTTACAAGAGAGACCTGTTCCAGACAGAACTTTAAGTACAGACAACAATAACAATAAACTACAGTAAAAATGCAGTTAAAATAAAACAATAAATCAGGGTGCTGTAAAACAAGGTAAAATACTAAAACAAGAAAATAATTGCTTTGATTTTTCTATTGACTTTTTATGTAATGCTTAAAACCCTCTAAAGAAATTCAGGTGGAGAGCTTCAGTTCTTGTTGCCAGGTGTTCCAGGTTACAGGAGCAGAGTAAGAAAAGGCCTTTTTGCCGAGTTCAGTCTGCACTGAGGGGACGCTGCAGGTAATGATGTTCTGAGAGCGCATGTTGTAACTGCACTGACGACATGACGTGTGGGAGGAGATATAAGAAGGCAGCAGGCCAAGGAGTGATTTATAGATGAAGATGAACCAGTGTGAGAGGCTACGTGTAGGTAATGATGACCAACTGACCAATGAGAGTGCAGTGATGGGTACGGTAGTTACAACCAGTTATGAATCTTAGCATGTCATGGTAGACAGCAGCCAAGGAACTGGCAGGGGCATGCATGTAAATAATGTCACCATAGTCAAGGGTTAATCTCCAACAGATTAACTATTAGAGCTAATCCCATTTAAGATGGCTGGCACAGCTAATTGATATTAACCAAAACTAAAACTTATTCAGGCTATAACTCAGCTACTACCATAGTAAGTTTTACCTCAATGTCTGTAAAACTGACTGAGTCATCCTCAGCAGATACTCTATGTACTCTGAGCATGGCATTTTGTGAAAATGCATGTAATGGAGCATCATGTTAGGTTCAAGGTTTGGATCAAAGTATTTTTAGTGTTTGTTTGTTTTTGTATATTAAGAACTTACACATATACAAAAATAAGGGGGAAAAATCATACAACAAAATCACCTCCCACCCTACCCCTCCCACAGACCCACTTTCAATGTAAAAATGCCCCAAAATCTCCCGACTGTTTTAAATTTCTGTACTATGCTAAAAATGAGTTCATGCTTTTGACTTTTATTTAACTCGTAACTTTTAATCCGCAGCCTGGCTGTGGCCGTACGAAGAGACCATCCGTAAATGTGGCAGAAGTTGGGTGACGGCCGTCGGTTTAATGGAGAAGAACCCAGAGTTTGTCTTCACTTGCTCTCAGGTTCTTACCCACTAACAAGCTTTTACTGTTTAACAGGTTTTCAACAATCTGAGACCAGTTTTGACTGGGATTTGATCTCCTCAGGCCCAGCAGTTCGAGTGGGTAAAGAGCTGGTACCCAGGACTCTTCTCCAAGATTCAGCACCATGTGAAGACAGGACAGTTTGTTCCAGTTGGAGGAACATGGGTGGAAATGGTAAACCTAATCCTAATTATGAACATTTTGTATCTTAGCTGACGTTTAGTAAAAATGTTCTACGTAACATTTTGCCTTTCAGGACGGGAACTTGCCCTCAGGTGAGTCCATGGTTCGGCAGTTCCTGCAAGGCCAGCTCTTCTTTAACCGAGAGTTTGGGATGTATTGCAAAGAGGTAGTATTTCCTAAAACATGTCCACAAAACTAAAATAATCTCATTTATGTTTGGGATTATAACAGCAAATCTTTGCCTGCTGTTCTGCAGTTCTGGCTTCCGGATACTTTTGGCTACTCTGCCCAGCTTCCTCAAATAATGCAGGGGTGTGGCATTTCTAATTTCCTGACTCAGAAGCTTAGCTGGAACCTGGTCAACACATTCCCTGTAAGTGCATTAAATGGATTTGCTTTGAAATAAAAAAATAAAAGTTAAACGCTTCGGTTTCGATGTCCCGTTTTTCACAGCACAACACGTTTTTCTGGGAAGGTCTGGACGGCTCCAAGGTTTTAACTCACTTCCCACCAGGAAATTCCTACGAAATGAAAGGCAAGGTTGACGATGTGAGTTACACCCTGGTGAATGTCAAGTCTGGGGCACGGGAGTTTACACGCTACAATCTTTTTCTTGGGTTTCTCTTTCGACCACAGCTTGTAAAAACTGTGAAGAATAACAAAGACAAAGGCAGAGCTAACCACAGCGCAGCTCTGTTTGGCTTCGGGGACGGGGGCGGTGGACCCACGCAGCACATGATAGACAGACTCTGTCTTGTCCGGGACACAGATGGACTTCCCAGGTCGGTTCCAGTCTAACATGAACTCATCACCCAACAGTAACAAAAACCAAGCCCACACTGAGCAGGAAACTCTTCCCACTCATCAATTACTCAGTTGTATATTACTGTATCCACAATGTGTCAGGTCAGGGATGACGTTTGTAACGGCCCGAGGCAGAATGCTTCAAAAATAGTTTAAAATTTCGGAGGATATGAACCATATCTACTGCCGCCACAATATTACTCACTTCAGACTTTGGGTGTTCCACAGGGTCCAGATGTCCAGTCCTTCAAAGCTTTTCTCACAGCTTCAGGCTGACTCAGCACTGCTGTGTACGTGGAGCGGAGAGCTCTTCCTGGAGCTGCACAACGGCACCTACACCACCCAGGCACAGGTAGAACCAGAGCATCCTCATCTGGGGACGATTCTCTCCTAAAGACTGACTTCCAGTCAGCACTTCCTTATCTAGTACTCAAACTCTCAAGGAAGTTTTATTAAACTTGTCTAGATTTTTACACAATGTAAATTTTAAAGACACAAACCTAAGTCTCATTAAAAGGTAAACTTTACTTATCTTTATTCATGACCAAAAGCAAGAAACGTTCCTGTCAAATACTGTAATACAGTTCACCAAACAACATTCAATTTAAACTGCAGTTTTTTTAAAAATAGCATCAATAAGAGTGAGTTTGAAATGGAAGTTTTATTCTTTTGCTGCAGAGAAGATGATGCTACAAAACTGCCAACATCCTCATAAAGAAATTTTCTGGGGATACATTCAAAACTTGGATAGATAAGAGTTTTTCACAGTGCGCACACATTTCGGTGTTGCATTTGAACACTGTAATGTTTTCGTACGCTGTAATGTTTTTTTTTTTTTTTATGTGGCCTTTGTTCTCAGATTAAACGAGAGAACCGGCAGTGTGAGACTCTGCTCCACGATGTGGAGATCGCCAGCAGTTTGGCCTTGTGCCGCAACAAGACGTTTGTGTATCCTGTGGAAAAACTGCAGCAGCTCTGGAGGTTCGAACGCAGCTCTGTTGGATCTAAACAATTACTACAGAATATGTGAAATATGTTTTTATTTATCTTGTTTATACTGACAGGCTGCTGCTTTTAAACCAGTTCCATGATGTGATTCCTGGCAGCTGCATAGGGATGGTTGTGGAGGATGCCCTTAAATACTATAAAAGTAGGGATGCACGATTTTGGATTTTTGGTCGATATCCGATATGTTAAAACGATAACTGATATCAATACTGATTTTTTTTTTCCCCTAGACCTATTTACAGAGACTACATAGCTTTCTTTGCTGTGGAATTCAAATACTACATTATTCTGCATGGTCTTTGTCAGTTTGGCTGCTGCTAAATGCAGATGCTAAAAGGGGCTGAAAATGATGCAACACTTTAACTTGGATTATGTTTAATGTCAAATTTATTCATGACATTTACTCTAACACAATGACAACACTCGGAACAGTGCAAGTTTGTACATTTTCACAAATCTAAACTCAACCTGTTCACAAGCGACGAGTGAAAAGTGCATAAGTAGTTGTGCATTCATAGATATACTTGGCAGTTTATTAAATTAAAATTAAACTTTAAACAGAAGCCTTTTATATCAGTGAGTTATTTTAATGGAATGGCTGATGTTCGATATTTAACTTGATCACTAATATCAGCCGATACGATACCATGCCGATAATATCGTGCATCCCTCTATAAAAGTACAACTTTTGATACAGGAGCGATTTAAATCTGATGTGTGCTAACACATAAATGACATTTGTATTCAGATATCCGCAGCGATGGTGCTGCACTTCTGTGGGAGGCTTGTGAAGCCTTGGAGTCCAAAGGCAGCTCCACTGCTGTGTTCAACTCTCTGCCGTGGGAGCGCCATGAAGTCGTACAGATTACAGACGGCACTGACGCACCTGTTCTGGGTACGTTTGATTATTTGAAATATTCACGTTTTGACCCTCAAATCTACAAATTAACATCAGCTGCTCTGTGGCCCTTCAGCCCTGCTGAGAGCTCCCAGCGTCGGGGTGTCTCCTGTCAAAGACACTCAGCCTGTGACTCCAGTCTCCGTCGCTCCTCAGGTATTTGTTTCTTACAGAGGGATGTGTTTGATTTGTTCTCGTTGAGTTTCCAACAGGGTTTTGTAATATTTTAGACTGACGGCTCTGTCATTATGGAGAATGGGATTTTACGGACCGTTGTAAGCAAAGACGGCACGTTGGCTTCTCTGTATTTGATTGCTGCAAACAGGTAATGTAAAACTACGTCAGTATATTTACACCATTCATCACCTCATATGTAATAGTCCTGTCTGCTTGTTTCAGAGAAACGGTGTCTGACGGCTGTGCTGGGAACCAGTTTGTCATATTTGATGATGTCCCCCTGTACTGGGATGCCTGGGATGTGATGGACTACCATCTTCAGACAAGGTCATTACATCAGCACATTGTGATGCCTCGCAGGAAGCTGTCAAACAAATACTGCAAAACTGACCCTATAGGAGGCCAGTGCTGGAGGTGGTGCATCCTGCTCAGGTGGTGTCCTCAGGTGGGCTTCGAGGCAGCGTTAGCTTCACCCTCAGGATCAGTGATAAAAGCTCAGTCACACAGGAGATCATCATGGACGCCACGTGTCCGTACATCAAGTTCAGCACTAAGGTACTCTGACGTGTGACAGTGCTCCTGTTCCTTAAAGACAAGCGCTTTATCACAGCAGAAGGAACACCTCGCTGCATTTTCAGGTGCAGTGGGCCGAATCGCACAAGTTCCTCAAGGTTGAGTTTCCTGTGCGAGTGCGCAGCCCCAACGCAACATATGAGATCCAGTTCGGCCATCTGCAGAGACCCACACACTGGAACACGTCATGGGACTGGGCTAGGTTTGAGGTATGACCAAAGGGATCGTCACACTGAGGTAGCTTTACTGTCAGTGTCAGCAGCAGAAGCACGAGTGTTTAAATGTGCATCCATCATCCCGGAAAGACAGGTAATAATGGGTTTGCCTGTCTGTTAGCAAAATATCTCATGAACTACAAGATGGGTTTTAATGAAACTTTTAGAAAGTAATTCTTAGACGTTCTTATGCAACTTATTAACTTTTAGAGTCAACTCATTTAAAGAATCTTTCCACAACTCCTGCTTATTGATCTTAGTCAACATAGCACTGGCTATAACCTGGTCAGTTTTACAATGAGTTAAACATTGATGCTGAGAGTAGCTGAGAATCATTCTCAACACATATCATGAGCAGATTTCACAATTTCATGTGAAACATTATTTCCAAGGTTTGAGCAAAACATCCATAACCCTTTTAGTCCCTAACATAAGATGACCTATGCTTGGCCTGTTTTAATGTTGTTCTTACCGCATTGTTTTGCGTGCACGTTTTATTTTTTTCTCAGGTGTGGGGTCACAAATGGGCCGACTTATCGGAGCACAACTTTGGAGTTGCACTCCTGAATGACTCCAAGTACGGTTACTCCATCCACCAGAACACGATGACGCTGTCTCTGTGAGGTTTCCATCAGTTCACACCATCGCTCACCAGATTAAAAAAATACTTTCATATAACCATAAATGTCTTCTTTTTTTTTATCCAGGCTGAGAGCACCTAAGGCCCCAGATGCTACAGCTGACATGGGAACTCATCAGTTCACATATGCCATCATGCCACACACAAGTGGGTTTTATTGGACTTCCTTTTTTGTTACAAACCTCTCATGAAGCAGTCATGAAGCTGTCATGTAACATGTCTTTTTGAATAGGCTGCTTCCAGGATGCATCTGTTATCCAGTGTGCCTACAACCTCAACTTCCCTCTGAGGTTGATTCAATGCCGTCCTGAAACTGAACCCTGGAGTGCCTTCTCAGTCAGCCCTTCATCAGTGATACTCGAGACCATTAAACAGGTGTCGCTTTACACAACTTTATCTTTTGAAAAGCAACCTTTGTGTGAAAACCTATTAAGAGATGACAAAGTGCTTGTGGTTTACATTAACAGGCTGAGGACAGGAAGGGGATGCTTGTGGTGCGTCTTTATGAATCACACGGGGGCAGCATCACTGCAAACCTGCACGTTAACATTCCAGTCAAGGAAGCCTGGCAGTGAGTGACTGCATTTAACTTTTGTTGTGTTCCCGTCACAACTCTTGGTTTTGTTTTCTAAAAACAAAACTCTTTTTCCTCCTTCAGTTGCGATCTCTTGGAAAGGCAAGACGCCACCCGGCCGGCACAGATCACACCAGAGGGAATTTCTCTGAGCTTTAAGCCTTTTGAAATTGTGACACTTCTGCTCGTTTTGTGATTCGGTGCAGCGTTTGAACAGGTTCCAGGGAAACATTGGATTTCAAAGAAGGGCTTTGTGCTCAGGTAAAAAAAAAAAAAAAAAAGTGATCACTTTGCAGTAAATCAATAAACATCTTTCTATGACAGGTTTTGTGGTTAAAAAAATACGTTATTAAAAATGTTTAAAGGTAATATACTATTTTGTAGTTTGTCTTTATTTGCTGTCTTTTCTGGTCACTCGTCCAGTTCGTCTCTTCTGACCTGCAACAAGAAACATGTTGGAATACATATTTTTCTAACTTTATGTCAAATAAAACAAAAAAAACAAAATCAAAACTGACGTCATGCGTTTTACCTTCAGTTGGTTCTGCGCGGATGCTCTTCCTCGTACGTGAACTTGATCTTGTTCCGCTCGGGAGTCTAACTTCCTGGGTGTTTTCAGCCTTTCCTCTCTTCGATACAACTTCCTTTAGTCTGAAGGCGTTTTCTTTTTTTGGCGTTTCCTTTTTGACCTTTTTCTTTGTTGTGCTTTCAGAGTGACTCGTGACTGCTTAAACAAATCAAACTCCTGTTAGTTTCAACTGCTCAGTTCAGTTTTAGACAACAAAAAAAGGGATTCTTGTTTTATTTACTTTACCTTTTTCTTGACTGTAGTCGTGGTCGTCCGCTTTCTTTGTTCTCTTTTTGGCCTTCGGTGACTTTGAACCTTCATACACAAAATATCAAAGTCAGATTCTTTTCTTATATACTGTATTTTTCGGCCTACAAGTCAGTTTTTTGCATAATTGACATGCCCAGTGACTTATACGCCAAAGCCATGTATTTATGGATTTTTTCCCATATTTATAAACCAATTTTTGGCTGAGATATGACTGTTTTCATTCATTGACTGGAAAAATTGAACACTACCATTTACAGCCGCTAGATGGCGGTCAAGCTGTATGGCATGCCGTTGTGTCATGTAATAGGCAAAAAGTGGTTATTGATACAATAGGCTTGCCAAAGACTGCCATCTTTGTTCTGCTCGCTTGGAGCAACAGTCAAATCAGCTTAATTTCGCTGCACCGCCCCGGCAAAATGCAGCTAATTTGACCATTAAAGTGCATTTATTAAGTAAAAGTTCAACTGAGATACACCTTTACTATAATGTTGAGCAAACAAATAATTGTTTTAGGTGCTTATCTTGTTAAATTTCGAAGAAATGCACAGCGAAAAGTCCCTCTGCGCATTCCTGCAGCCGTGAATCGGCTTTTGAAATGCAGCTGATTTGACCGTCAAAATGCATTTATTAAGGAAAAGTTAGACTGAGACACGCCTTTTACTATAATTTTGAGCAAACAAATAATTGTTTTTAAGTGTTAATTTTGTTAAATTCTTGTTAAAGCCCTCCCGTGCACACCAGCCCACATTTCCAGGTTGTCCGCGGTGACGCATAATAGATGCAACGTAGACGGAGAAGCGATGCATTTACGGATTTTTCCACTTTATTGCACATATTTGGACTGATGCAACTTATGGGACAGTGCGACGTTTGCGGCGAAAAATACAGTAAGCTTCAGCACAAGAGTCGAATACAGTCATATTACTTACCACTGGGAGCCATGGGGCCCGGATCTCCCTGAAACAGCCAAACAGTCCGTATCAATGACCAAACTGTGGTATTTTAAAATATACAACTCCAACTCACTTTAAACCATACTGTTCTGCCATTGTGGTCCCGGAGAGTTTTCATTCCATCCACATAATAACACTGCAGCCATGCCTCAAAGCCAGAGTAGTCTGCCTTCTCAGGGTCATAACCTTTACCACCTAAAACATGAAATGTCTCTTTTATGAGGCGTTCTTTTGTTTCCTGACTGTGAAATGTGTAAGAACTGACCTAAGTTGACCACCTCCAGTGGTACAGTGTGACAGAGCCTGAGCAGGTCACCAGTTTCCCGTTTCATATCTTTCATTTGAGCCATCTGTGAGGCATTTTGAGAGGAACATAAACAGGCATTGTTAGAAAATACTTGTTAGAAGCTGCTCTGTGATGTAGTTGTGGTTCTTTCACCTGTGTGAACTCCTTTTTCAATGGCTTTTCATTCTCAAGTGGATCATCTGGCTCAAGGCCTTCCAGTATGCTACGGGCACACACAAAGGGTGGAATACTCAACCTAAAAAAAGAAAAATAACTTGGGGCCAACTGTTTTTCAAACACGCTGGAACACCATCGCACCTTCCCACGATGGAAAGTGGCTATTCATGAGCTTTCTGAAGAAAAATGACCATGAAAGTTGTGGGAATCAAGATTTGTTTCTCACAACAAAACAAAAACAAAACGCTTTTATTTTTTGCAAAACTATCTCACAAGAACGAAAACATTAAATACAAAAGGTGTTTTTATGTTTTCGTTCTTGTAAGCCTGACAGCATATGGGACCACTGTGCGCTTACATGTATTTCTCTTCTTTCACTAAAAAAATGCTAACGTATTAAAATAATACATGGTTTAACATGTCTAACGCGCAGAAATATTTTTGTGTAAACACAAAAAATACTGTTTCTATAGTTCAGAGCTGGTTCAACCTACCAACAATGTGTTGGCACTAAAGATGTCTTTGACATTAAAACTGCAACAATGAGCAGATTAATTCATCCCCTACTCCTTTAAAATTATAGTGGATTATCTAATTATGGCTAAAATCACTTGAAAGTTCAGAAAGTGTGCATGCCCAGTTTAAATGTGTCATTTATGTCTTGATGCATGCTCAATAATCCAGGTAGATAAATCGGACAAGGTTGAGATTTTTCTTTGTGAACATCAATTTGTGAGTGCTCATCACCTGTAAAGGATTTCAGCTCTCAGGTAGTTGCCAATACCGTTGAAGTACTTTTGATTCAGCAGGACTTCACAAATCGGTCGGTCAAAAGTTCGATCACTTAGGTGTGACAAGACATTCTCCCTGAAACATTAATAAACTACTAGTAATCATGTGCATGAAGACATTATTTTTGCTTGTTTAGATGACATCATCAGGCATACAAACCTGAAACTTTGATACTCAAACATGATGCAGGGCCCTCTGTCAGGTTGCCAGGTTCCACAGGGCTCCCAGCTGCCAAACCTGCGTGTGTCCACAAAGCTCAGCACTCTGCAGGGCTTCTCTTTAGAGTAGAAACGCAGATGAGCGTGCTTGGGCAGCTCATCCTCCCCGGTGAACCGGAAATAACCAGACATCCCAAAGCGAAAGACTACATCCATGGGTCGATCCGCTTGTCTTGCCTTTGCTCCCCGCTTTGGGGCGTCATCACTCTTGATGGGCGTCAGTGTGAGCTTCACTTCCTTTCCTCTGGAAGTGGCTGTGATGCGATATGCCTCACAGGTGAAGGGCACATCGGGAAATTTGCTGACTTTGTCAGCAAATATCCTGTCTGTCTTGTTTGTCTTCACAACTTCAGATTTTACGACCGGTCCACAGAACACCACTCCATCACACATCTTGTTCACGTACAGGCTGGCCAGGTGGAGCTCGGGTCCCTCGGGCATTTTGAGCGAACAAACAAATCTGTGAAGAGTTAAACAACTGGAATTACACCACTCTGTTTATATCACACACATAAAACTTCATGCATTTTATGATGCAAATTAAACTTTTCTGGTCAAACCTTAAAAATAAAGTTATGCACAATCTGAGCATGTGTTGTGAAGGACTCTCAGCAACTACCATATTAGATTTTAACTCAATATCTTTTAAACTGACTGTTAAGTTATATCCACATTGCTGAGGTGGCCATCTTAAATCAGTTTGACTCCAAAGGTATTTGTTTTTTTTGTAGACTAATGTGCATTAGGGTTTGAACGAGTATATAATTTTTAAACTCGACATTAACATAATAAAACCCGAGTAGAACTCGAGTATTTGATGACGTCATAGATCTCAAGATACAAAAATAAATAAATAAATAAAACCGCAAAAAAAGGTCATTATTTACAAAAAAAAGACCAACAAAACATTGGGAGCGTATATTATGCTCCTACCATTTATCATACTGCAAATAAGTCACAGAAAAAACTAAACTATTAGTTATTATTAAACTACAAACGCTGGAACACCACCGCACCTTCCCACGAGGGAAAGTGGCTATTCATGAGCTTTCTGAAAAAAAAATGACCATGAAATTTGTGGGAATCAAGATTTGTTTCTCACAACAAAACAACATCTGGTGCATCTATCACGAGAGGGGTGCTCACATCCCGTATGGAGAAAAACATAGAACAGTGTGTGTTTTCTTGGAGGCAAACAAATCTAGGTTGGCTGTGCCAAAGCAATCCCAAATCTGCTGCACTATCTCCAGGTGAAGGCACCATTCTCTCACCAGTGGGGGACTTCTGGAGAACGCATCCACTCCGTGGTTCAGCACCCCCAGGACGTGCACTGCTCTGCGTGACAGCAGTCGTGTGCTGCACCATTGTAACAAGTTGGCTATAAGGCAGACAGGTAGTGAACATGTGCCCACCTTCTTGTTTATGTGAGCGACCACACAGCTGTTGTGCTGCGCACTAAAACATGCTGGTGAGAAAGCAGCCCCCTTGTGCTGAAATGATTCAGTGAGAGAAAAACTGCCATAATCGCTAATGCCCTTTTCCATTAGTAACAGTACAGCACGGTTCAACTCGACTCGGCACGGTTCCAAGGCTTTTCCACTAGTAACAGTCGTGGAACTGGTCCCCTTTTTCCAACTGGGCCGAACCGCACCAAAATGTGACGTCAGAACACTGTTGGTCACTGATTGGTCAGGGGGTGGAGTTACTGGCGGGTTGAGAAACTTTTCACAACAAGATCCGCCATTTGCAATAACTCAACTCGAGGAGCGACTGGACCTATTTTAAAGATTTTACAAACAATAATGACAACACCGTGGTGTAATGCTGAAGTGCAGACGTTTTTTGTGCTTGGTGGCCGACTATAAAATTCAGAGGAGAGCAAGCTAGATGGCGCTCCACCGGTCCCCGACTCCCCCCCCACCCACCAGATCCTCTCCACCAGAACCTCCATGACCCCTCAGGCCATGCAGGGTGTCATCTCCCCGTCTCCGAGCTCTGCCCATCACCGCTGAAGAGCCTCCGTGCTGCCGACCCAGGGCTCGGGCTTGCATGCTCTGAGCTCCGCTGGTCACTGCGGAGGATCATACGAGCTGCCGACTTGCAGAAGGCTGGGGTCCAGACCCCGGCCTCGCATGCTCGTGAAGGCCAGACCCCGATCCCTGGCAGATGGGTGGACCGGGACAGGTCTGGGACGGAGGGTGGAAGCGATTTTTAAAAAGATTTTATGTATTAGAAAAAAAAAAAGTTTTGTTTTTTGCAGTGAAGATTAAAAATAAATAGTGCCGGTTTTATCATGAAATCCTGTTTTCACTTTAATAACTATTAAAAAATCTGTTAAAGTTAACTCAGCTGAAAAATCATAAAAAGACACAAAATTATTGAAACTCTCAGGAATATTTCCCTCACATATGTTTAAAGAAGAGTTTAGTTGAACTTTATTCTAACCCACAGATGTACAAATCACAAAACAAGAATTAAACTTTAAAGCAAAGCTAAAACATACAAAAAATATTTGTGAACAAGAAACAAAACCACATATCTAAACTGAACAACAAAAGTAGACACAATGAGTGCAAATACATCAAGATGCAGTAGAAGTAGATTTTTGTCAGCTGTGCCACTGAGAACTGACACTGCTTGCTAGAGAACGTGGGTTTGCTGGCTGATGCATCATCTTAGGTACCTAGTTGGCTGCCAGTGTTACATCCATGGGGGGATGTGACAGACCCGCTGGTACCATGTGCTCAAAGTCCAAAAACTGGGAAAAAGGCAAGCACTTTAACAGTCACATGTACTCTGTGGAAGGAACATTTGGAAGCACAGAGACAGATGCAAATGAAAACAGTGATGATGGATTGTAGTACAGTTAAAATCTATTTTTACATACCAGGCTTTATGCTAATTTTCCCATGTGATTTCTGTGTTACAGATGAACAGACTTGATAGTTTCCACACTTGACCTGTTAAGAGTTGGCTCATGTGTGTCTGCTTTTAAACAGTTTAAAGAAAGTTTTTCATTTACTGTGTTTACGATAAGTTGCTTTTAAAAAAATAATAATAATAATTGTACACATCCTTTATGATTGTCTATTGTTGTCATTGTTGTCCACTGTTGTCGTCACTCTTTAGTTAAAATTCAGGTCTCTCTGGTAAATGAGTCCCTGAGGATTAATAGGATTAATTAAAGGTTGAATTAATGTTACATATGCATAATGCATTTTATTTTCAGAGCTTAAAAGTATGTTATTCAAAGTGTTTAGCATAATTTTGCTGTTTATATGTAATGTCATAATAAACGTATGTTTATATTGTTTAAAAACAGCCTGTTTTACACAATGGTGGGTTGCCAGTTGGGCATGTTTTCATAGAGCTGGTTGCTTGTTTCGATCGCGAGATCTGGCAACACTGATTGAGTTGTACGAACAAAAGGAAAATTGTGCCGCAGTTGGTCAGCTCATCTACTTCCACACCAAATATTGGGTCAGTATCTGTAAGACTGGCTGCAGCATAGCCATTTTAGTGTTTTTTTTTTTAAAGTGGCTGTGGAGGCCATCTGGAATCTGACCGACTCCTAAAGTCAATCCGCTGTAGTTGTACCTCGCCTGATTAGTTTCTGCAAGTTTCACTCAAATTCGTCCAGTGGTTCATGAGATATTTTGCTAACAGACAAGTACAAGCACACAGCTAAACGGGCAAAGGCCTTATCGCCTGCCTTTGACCAGCGGGAGATTAAAAAAATGTTTTGTTACAATCAGTGCACAATCCAAGGAAACAAATGCTTAAATCAAATGAAACTAAAGTGCAAAACTCACCCAAACCAGGAAATGCAAGCTTTCGGAGAAACGTGCAGCTTATTTACTTTTTACACAAATGCTACCAAAAACGAGCTCACAGGTATTTGTTTATGTGATGCTGCCACAACCAGAAACTATAATATATACATTTATTTTCCAGCATGCGTGTTGACAAACGAGTTATGAAACGATCGGTTTCAAAATATCGCGAGATTTCACGTTCCTTCACGCGAAGCTATTTTACAAAAGTATTTTATCACGTTTCGTAGCAATAAGTCAACGTAGTTAAATAATTGTAATTTTAACAATAAATTTTTAACCAAATTTAAAGCTTGCCATTTTTTTTACACAAGAAGCCAACTGGTCCACCGATGCATGACGGGATTTGTAGGCGTGGCGGAGACAGGGATGAAAGGAAAGATTTATACTTTATTACAGCCATTTGACAGTAGAATACAAATTGTAAATTAAAGACAAAACGTGTCAAGTAATATGATGGTGTTTTACAACAAAAAAAAAAAGAAAGAAAGGACAATTGTGTGATTTAGCTCAGTGACCAATTTCAGTCTGGAAACATTTCCACCAATACTTAATAAAGTGGTAGAAAAATACTTTTTAATGTCAGTACATTCAAACAAAGAAAGAGTCTCCTAAAATTTGATATGACCCGATTCACACACATAATTAATATTATACAAGTTGAAGTAATATTGGCACTTTTGGCAGTTTATCAGCATCAGTTTTGTCCAGTTCATCATCAAATATTAGTTTTCCAGTCTTCATTGTAGTGCATTCATCATAGCCTGGGCTTGTTTTAGCTCTGTTGAAAAAAACAACAAAAACAACTCAACAAACAAACAAACAAAGTAATTACCACAGCAATACTCTAACTGAACTGGGTTTTTTTTGCAGAGGAAAAAGATGGTGAGAAAATAAGTGTTAATTCACAGGAAGTAGATAGAATTAACTGACCAGTAAGCAAGACTCTGAACTTGTCAGCGGAGACAGAAACGACCGTTGTCTCAGAAGAGCCTGGCTCAGCATTTTGAGTCTGAAGTTTAAGCTGTAGTAACGGTTCATTGACTTCCCTAAGGTCACTTGAGCTCAGAGTATAATCGACACGCCAGGACACGGAGTCAAGCCGCCCCACTGAAGGTCATTAGCGGACAGAATAGATGAAAACACTCAGTCAGCACAAACTTTAGACTTCTACTTTCAGATCAGGAAGCCTGACAGAAATACTTACATCTCAAGCTGGTTTCTCTTAATTTGTCCTGAAGTGCAGAATGCTTGTCTTCATATGATTTGCAAAGCCCTGTAGTGTGTTCTAAAAGAAATTGGAAAATTGTGCAAATATTAAAAACATAAATATTTAAAAGATCTAAAGCACAGCTTAAAAAACTGTTTGAAATCTAGAAAACATTGACACTTTGCAATAACAATGTTACTTCTTAGGCTTTAAAGACGTACAAAACCTTTTACTTTCTTCAGGAGTGTTTAACCTAAATTTATATTTATTGCTGACATTGGCTTTCAATATTCATATTTCAATATTCAACATCTAAAAATATATAATAGTTTTAGTGCTTTTAAAACTATGGCACAACAAGTGCATCACTCAAAACTTAAGCAAACAAACACAAAGGTTGAATCAAAGCATAATGAAAAAAAAATGTGAGCACAATAACGGGAGATGTGCTAAGTTTGTAAAACAAAAAGCTTTAACAGATTAATGCAAGAAAAAGACATGGAGATTTTAAAAGACATTCAACTATCCATAAAATGGAATTAATATTTTAATAGCAAATAAGAAAGTGACTACTCATTGATTATTTTATTATGTTATAACTACATATACAACTACATATAATCCTTTCTACACATAAGTCAATAAAAGCAATACTGTACTACAATAAATACTTCAATATTTCTGACTCTGGCACAACTATTTCCTGCAGGATCAATAAAGTTCTATCTTATCTTATAATGCAGTACGTTATTTATTTTTTAATTTTTTTAAACCTATCATCCAAAGAAACTACCACAACCACTAACCTTTAGGCAGCCCAAGCTGTTGCAGCTCACTGGACAGAGACTCACTGTCAACATCATGCTTTGCCGCACTGGACAAAATAAAGCTGAGCACCGCCACGCTGGCTTTGATGTCTCCACTTTCTGAAAGAAGGGTAAAAAAAACTGAAGTACATTATTTTAAACTATATAAGGGCAAATGCAAGCATGCAATTTGCAAATGTTTCTGAGGAAAACATAGTATTTGTTTGTAAAATAAATAAAAAAAGGGGGTAAGACTATAAAAAGCTAATCCTGTTAAATTTACATTTGGCTGAAACTAAAAAAAGATTCAATTTAAATGTTGAAACAGAGAACATTAATAACATTTTTTTTAAAATGATGTCATCCAGGGGCAGCATGGTGGCGCAACTGGTAGAGCCGCTGTCTCTCAGCAAGCAGGTCCCTGGTTCAAATCCCGGTCCGGGGGCCTTTCTGGGTGGAGCTTGCATGTTCTCTCCGTGCATGCGTGGGTTTTCTCCAGGTACTCCAGTTTCCTCCCACGGACCAAAAACATGCATGTTAGGCTGATTGGTAACTCTAAATTGTCCCTAGGTGTGAGTGAGAGTGAATGGTTGTTTGTCTCTGTGACCCTGTGATGGACTTGCGACCCGTCCAGGGTGTACCCCACCCCTCGCACAGTGATTGCCGGACATGGGCACCAGCGACCCCTGTGACCCAAAAATGGAAGAAGTGGGTAAAAGATAATGGCTGGATGGATGTCATCATGTTATTAAAAAATTATGCAATCTAATAAAAAAAAAAACTATGTGTAAGAAGTGGCTTATTGCTTTTAAAAACTGGTGGTTGGTTGGTAGCTTATTTGGATAATGACATACAAGTTGGCAACATTATTGGGAACAATTATCTTGCATCGCCTCTTTAAAACTCACTTGGGTGTGGTACCAAATTATAGCAATTCAAAAACGTATTTTCAGTCTCAGAGTAAACCATTAAATGGCAGGCCTGGAAAGCTATTTTAGTAGATACTTTGTTGTGCAGAAAGAAGTTAATTAAGAGCTCTTGTTCCCATGAACCATTTTTTCCTGAAATATACTTCATTCTATAGCAACACATTGCATGTTTGCTTTAAAACCTCCATACATGATACAACAGATGCAAGGTTTGAACTGTAACTTTGATAATAAGCTGGATGGTTACAAGAAAATGTTATTGTTCGACACCAACAGACAAAAAAAGTGTTAGTTCTTAAAAGTATTGTGGCCATTCAGTACTAATATTTGCCTTGTTTAATGAATACAAAAAATACCTGGGTTATTTTCAAAAAGATGTAGTGAAACACTTTTATGAGGTTACTTGGATGTTGTTTATGCAAACTCATATTACTGTCCTTTGTTAAATATAGGGATATAAGAATTTCTGACATGATTTATATAATAAACCCCAACTAAATTTAAAAATATCATCTGCTACAAGGTTGGAATAAAGATGTATAAACAAAAACTGTAAAAGTTATTTTTCTGCAAATAGTTTTAACAGCTGTTGTTGTCATAGCAACGAGACAAAGGGACCAGATGGGAAGACACTTACCAAACTTTGCATCTGCAGTCAGCTTTGCAACTTTGTCATACTAAGAGAAAAATGCAAACAGCACTGCTGAGTGTGTGATCAATAGGAAGCTCAGATTTCATGATGATATGGAAGTGTTATTTTCAACTTACATCAATACCCTCTCCCATTAAATCCTTCAACACTTGAGCACAAAGGAGTTTCATCTTGACACTTGACTGTAGAGGGGAAAAACAAACTCGGTTAGAAAAAAAATATGAACACTTACTTACAGCACTTGCTTTAAAACAGGGAAGAGCTACTTACAATTTTTGCTAACGTGCTGATTTCAGCAAGAACCCAGTCAGGGCAGTCCAAATCCCCACAGAAACGGAACCGCTATAAGATATATAAAAAATCGTATATGGTTATAAAGAAAAACAAAGATGGGTTTCTGCTACAACGTTCAAAATTACTACTGCATCAGTGCTAGCTTAGCCTGCTAGCCGCGTAAACGAAGCTCCTAAACATCAACACAGTTCCATTTCACAACAGTTTACGAATTAATAAAGAAACCTACTGTAAGTAACCGCTAATTTATACTGATCCCAAATAAACAGTTTGGTCAAATAAATAGCCCAATACTAATGAACAGACTTACCATTGTTGTCAACAGAAGGAAACAGGAAGTCTTGACGCTATTCTCGTCTCTGATTGGACGGACAATAAAATGAGGCGGAGTCTTGGGTGGGCACGTGATGCAGGGAGTTGGTTTACTCACGGTCTACCACCGTGTACTAGGATCAAATGCAAAATACATAAACATAATAATAAATAATTAATTATACATATAATAACCAAAAAGACTGTATACAGAATATTACGTTTTTAATTAAATTGACTGTTTTTCATCATTATATTCTGCTTTGTTATCGTTATCAATTGTCACAAATTTCTTCCTAATTTTGCATTTATTATCATATTTTAGTTCATACAATATACCGTTTTGCATTAATTTGTGTTCTCTTTATACTTCCATAATAGTAAATTTATGTTTCTTATTTTATATGCTGTAATCCTCCTCGTTTTTGTGTTAATTTGCTCTCTTTGTTGCATTATTTCATTGCAGCTAATTCCTTGTTATCAATATATTGTGTTGACTTGTGTTCATTTTTGCATTTATGTTTATGGTATAGTTTTATGTCTCAAGTTGTAAATGTGAACTTTATTTTATACATTTTATGTTACTCTGTGGTAGCTTTACTTCAGTTTCTTTGAAAAAATAAATCAAGAAAAGAAAATGTTCAGTATTTTTAGAATGCAGTAGGAATAACTGTGACCAAATAACTGGCTCAGGGTAAAAGATGAACCCATGTCAGGCCTCACTAAACAGCTTTGAATGCAGCAAATGAGTTATTCAGTATAAAATGCAGCAATTTGACAAACTAATACTTTAGTTAGAAGCAATCAAGACATATTAGAATTCCATGGACAGACCTATCATTTTGCAGCAAGACTCCGAGGCTGCCTTATTTTAGGAGTTGGAGTTGTTCTGTTTTTATTGCATCACTGCGGCTTTTTGTCTGCTGCTCTGGCCTTCAATGATTATTCAAACATGCACGTATTAGACTGGCAGTCTAAGAAGGTTTGCTCTACAACCAACTGTCTATCGTTGTTTTTAAGATCTGTCCAAATAGCTAAATAGATCAAATTTAAATGCCAGCTTCACATGCAGAGGACCAGTGATGGATTTATACTGAAAAATTAACAAAGCAAGGAAACAATATGCATCATGTGAACAGTGTTTTTATACTGCACCAAAAACTATTTTAAAACTTTAAACTGTGTTACAGTGTGAATAGGGCTGTAAGATTTTGTCCATCCACCCATCCATCCATCCATCCATCCATCCATCCATCCATCCATCCATCCACTTGTTCCGGAGTCAAGTCATACGGACAGCAGCTTAAGCCGGGAGGCCCAGCCACTTCTTCTAGCTCTTCTGGGAGGACTCCAAGGTGTTCCCAGGCATCTTCTCTCAGTCAGACATGTCCAGAGCACCTCCTTAGGGAGAAGTCCAGGGGGCATCCTTACCAAATGCCTGAACCACCTTACTGGCTCTTCTCGATGTGGAGGAGTAGTAACTCGACTCCAAGTCCCCTGGATAACTGAACTTCTCACCGTATCTCTTAGAGCGAGTCCAGCTACCCTGTGGAGAAAAATATTTTTGACCACCTACTTAAACAAGTACCAGTAAGTAGACCTGAGGTTTTGGAGCATGATCACTTTATGCCCAAGTCTGTACTAAAATAGCTGTTTTGACAAAGTTTTAAACAGTTGTATTTACACAGGTGCAGTTTTTGTGAATGCACATAAAATATGGCTCTCAACTTTCCTCCCTGTTCACCAATAGGTAACTTTTTTTTTTCTAATGGAAGAGGTCGGTTCTCTAACATGACGTTTACATGATGAAACAGTCTGTAAACCTGAACAAAATGTTTTATCCAGTCAGGGAAAATATATATGACAAAACTGGTGTTATGAAATATCATAAGATAAACTTTGAAAAAGTCTCATAAGAGTTGGATAAAGAAGTTTGCAACACATAAGATTTATTAGAAAGAACTGGAATGCAAAAAAATAGTAATAAATAAAAATTAAAAATAACTCTAAAAACACTTGATCAAAGAACTGGACATCATTTATTTATTTAAATATTTAGTTGGTTGAGTGGAAAAATGAACAAGTTCACTGAAGTTAAAAATGTTGATGCAGCTGCTCCAAATAACTGTTTTGTGTAGGTTTTCCATGTGGTGTCAAAATCAGCTGTGACTCAAAGTGTCATGTCTTGTTCTGTCTAGTGTCTGGCAGTGTGACTTTTGTATCATGTCCTTGAGACCTGGATCAAAAGAACTTAGCAGAGTAAAGTCACCTCAGATTATACAGCCTTAACAGTCCCTGCATGGTCTTCTCTTTAAAATCCCACAGCACACATGGCTAATCAAGAGAAATAATTACTTTAGTCCAAAAAAAGTACATTATTTCTGCCTCTATAGACAGTACTGAATATTCACACAATGCTTAACATAAATACTTGCTTCATTATTAACAGTATTTCTGGAAAAGCAATTAATAAATTTTAAGTGGTGTTCACTTTTAAATTTTTTTAGACAATAGACACAATTTTAGACATAAAAAAAGTGTTAAAATAAAGAATCAGAATCAGAATCAGTTTATTATTGCCATGTCAATGAACGAGGTTCACAAACTAGGAATTTGCTTCGACATAAGGTGCGAATAGTAATAAAGTAAAATAAAGTAAAAATAAAGTAAAAATAAAGTAAGAATGAGAACATTGCATAAGACATAAGACCTGTGTCCACCCACAAATAAAGTAAAATTAAAACATAACATAAACATGTGTACACCCATACAATAGAAAATGATAAAAAAGCTTAGAAAACAGTACAGATGGAGTATTCAGTTATAATGCAGATGTAATGTGACCAAAGCAGAAGTTATGAGGTAGCATTATGAGTGTTCAGGAGTCCAACAGCAGAGGGGAAGAAACTGTTCTTATGGCGGGAGGTTCTGGTCCGTATGGACCGAAGCCTCCTGCCTGAGGGGAGTGGTTCAAACAGACCGTGTGCAGGGTGAGCAGGGTCAGCTGTGATCCGACCTGCTCGCCTCACAGTCCTGGAGATGTACAGGTCGTGGAGGGATGGAAGGCTTCTCACCTTCTCAGCTGATTGCACAACGCGCTGCAGTCTGAGTCTGTCCCTGGCAGTGGCCCCGGCGTACCACACCGTGATGGAGGAGCTGAGGATGGACTCGATGATGGCCGTGTAGAACTGCACCATCAGCTTGGCCGGCTGCTTGGCCTTCTTCAGCTGTCACAGGATTTTTTAAAGGGTAAAAACAGTGGTTTAACCTGCATGAGCGACATGAGGACCAACCCAAATAAAGCCAATATCCAAACATTGTTCAAAACAAATACAAAACCGTGATTTTCAAAAGGTATATATATTTAAAAAAAGATTAAAACCTGGAATATGAAAATAAGGCAGTAATTTAGAAATTACAAGAATAAATATATCATATACTGTGTTGTATAATTATATAATTATATAATTACAAATTATTTATTATTATTAATATTATTGTTCTTGTTGTTTTTATACCAGCCACTAAGCACAAACCAGTATACAGTATCTCTTGTGCCAGTCCCAAGCCTGGGTAAATGGTGATGAGGGTCATGTCAGGAAGGGCATCTGATGTATAACACTTTTGCCAAAACTATAAATTGAGTTCATCAAAGTGAAACCATACTGGATCTGTCGAGGCCTGGATTAACTATGACCACCATCGGTGCTGTTGACAAACAGGATGCCGGCAGAAATGGTGCTATTGTTAGTCGAAGACCACATGGAAGGAAACATGTCAGGAGACAAAGGGAGAAGAGGAAAGTTAGGAATGTAGGAGTGAGGGTTGCAACTCTAAATGTGGGGACAATGACAAGCAAAGGTAGAGAGCTGGCTGACATGATGTAGAGAAGGAAGGTAGATGTTTTATGTGTCAAGAGACCAAGTGGAAGGGCAGCAAGGCTCGCAGAATTGGAGCAGAGTTCAAACTGTTTTACCATGGTGTGATAGAAAGAGAAATGGAGTAGGGGTGGTCCTGAAGTAGGAGTTGGCAAAGAATGTAGTAGAGGTGAAGAAAGTGTCAGAGAGATTCAGAGAGATTTTTTTTTGTTATTCGCATCTCATGTGGTACATGTGGTGGAACGAGATTATGTACACATGGGTCTCATCCATCCATCCATCCATCCATCCATCCATCCATCCATCCATCCATCCATCCATCCATCCATCCATCCATCCATCCATCCATCCATTATCTTTTACCCGCTTCTTCCATTTTCGGTCATGGAGGTCGCCGGTGCCCATGTCCAGCAATCACTGTGCGAGGGGCGGGATACACCCTGGACAGGTCCATCACAGGGACACATAGAGACAAACGAGATAAACAACCATTCACTCTCTCACTCACACCTAGGGACAATTTAGAGTTACCAATCAGCCTAACATGCATGTTTTTGGTCTGTGGGAGAAAACTGGAGTACCTGGAGAAAACCCACACATGCACAGAGAGAACATGCAAACTCCACCCAGAAGGGCCCCCGGACCGGGATTTGAGCCAGGGACCTGCTCGCTGGGAGGCAGCGGCTCTGCCAGTTGTGCCACGGTGCTGCCCCCACAGGATCCCAGTTATATTAAATTACATAGGGTGATGTGTCTGAAGGTAGAAGTAGAAGGTCTGATGTTAAATGTTGTTAGTGGCTATGCTCCACAAGTTGGATGTGATGTGGAGGAGAAAGATACAATTTGGAAAGATCTGGATGAAGTGATAGAGAGTATTCCCAGGGAGGAGAGTGGTGATTGGAGCAGACCTGAATGGACATGATGGGGAAGGAAACAAATGGGATGAGGAAGTGATGGGTAGGTTTGGTGTCAAGGAAAGAAACCAGGAAGGACAGATGGTGGTGGATTTTGCCAAGAGAATGGACATGGCTGTAGTCAATACATATTTCCAAAAGAGGAAGGAACATAGAGTGAACTATAAGAGTGGAGGAAGGAGTATGTAGGTCGACTACATTCTGTGTAGAAGAGGACACCTGAGGGAGATTGGGGACTTTAAGGTTGTGGCAGGGGAGAGTGTGGCCAGACAGCATTGGATGGTTGTGTGTAGAATGACTGTTGTTGTGAAGAAGAAAAAAAAGAGTAAAATCAGAGAAGAAGACCAAAAGGTGGAAGCTGAGGATGGAAGAATATTGTGAGGAACTCAGAGAGGAGCTGTTAAAGGCTTTGGGTGGTTACATTTTTTTTTTTTTTAAAGAGCTTCAAAATAACTCTGACATGACAAGAGAGTCCAGGCAGGATGGAATGGATGGAGAAAAGTTTCAGGAGTGATTTGAAAAAAGGGTGTTGGCAAAGGTCAAAGGAAAAGTTTAGAAGACAGTGGTGAGACCAGCTACATTGTCTGGTCTGGATACAGTGGCACTGACAAAAAGACAGGAGAAAGACCTGGAAGTGGTGGAAATGAAGATGTTGAGGTTCTCCTTAGGAGTGACAAGGCTGGATAAGATTAGGAATGAGAACATCAGAGGTACAGCACAGGTTGAACAACTGGGAGATAAAGTTAGAAATGCAGCTGCCAGGAAAAAGACAAAGAGGAGATATATGGATGCAGAGGACATGGAGGTAGTTGGAGTGAGATGGAGGATGCAGACGACAGAGTGAGATGGAGAAGGATGACTCGCTGTGGAGACCCCTGAAGAGGGAAATAAGATTATATTATCATTATTATGATCATTAATAAATATTTTATCTGCAATTCATGTCTAATAATGTGTGACAATGTATGTTAAAATCAAATCATATGTATAATTTTACTTTTATATATGTTTAAGAAGCTGTGAACACTGTTTTTTGTACATGTTATGCTATTTACTTAGCATAATTGTTAATACATTCCTTGTTCAGAAATGTATTAACCATAATTACCACATCATTGTTACAGATAAATATAGAGTGTGAGAAATAATAAATTACCTATAGATGAGGGGTAGGAGTAAACAAGTTTATCTTTATTGTCACTCCTTTTTGAACAGATAACTGGTTGGTAATGCATTTATTTATTTGTTTGTCCTTTTTTTCCCCCTTTGTATGTTTTTACATTTGTGAATTTATTTTCTGTTGTAAGGATGTCTTCACCTGAAGCCTCCATCATCATTTTCTTTTCTTTTTTTTTTTTTTTTGTGGAGATTTTATTTGTCATTCAATTTAAAACTCTTCGAAATGTGTGTAGCTTGGGTCTTAATTAATATTAATATTAGGTATGACGTAGTATAGCCCCGCCCACTACGGAACGCTTAATTTAATGTTCCGACTGCCAGGTGTACGATAATTATCGTATTTGTACGACAATTTTGCCCTTTGTACGATGTACGATCAATAATCCCAAACAAGGCCAAATATACGATAATTTGATCATTCCGTGAATGTGTGGTTGTAATCGGTTGTCATCAGCCTCTCGCAACTGTCTGTCAGAGTTTATTTTGTGAACCCTGAAGGCGTTTGTGTCTGCAAACAGCTTTTCTAAATGTTACCTACGAGTGACGTGTTTGCGTTTGCCTCAGAACAACGGCCATGATTGGCTGAATAGTCCGCTGCGCCCGCCCCATGAGTGAAGAAAAGGAAAAAAAAGAAAAGGAGAAGCAGCAGAGCCGGACCGGTCTGGAAGCGGACCCATCACTACTATAGCGCATTAATAGATTTGTTATTTTGTTTATGACGGGTGTACAATAATTTCCCTCAAAATACGATAATTTTAGATAATTTGACTTCTCTAGTACGATAATCCTACATTTCTCACCTGGCAACACGAGCGTCTTAGCTGTTAATGGACTCTGGTCGCGCGCAGGTCAACTCCATGGTTTTACACACTCTCGCTGATTTTACACCATGGCAGCTTCGGCAAACGCTTGTTTGCTGTTGGTTCTCCCCAGCCCAACAAAAATTAATCTACGCGTGCCGTTTGGGGATATTTAATTAGGAGGAGTGACAGAAATTAGCACCGACGGACCTCGACCTCATCAGCTAATGCGCAAAATGACGGCTTCTTCTTATATTTCTCTCTTGTTTGTTGCGGGTTTTCACCTTGTCCTTAGTGTGGACTTGAAGGAGACACCGACACTTGGCTCGACTAAAACTCCCAGACTTCTGAGCAAAGGTAGGAACTTCTTCACCCCAATAAGAAGCACTTTGCTTTTGTTTACTTACCTTAAATCAGAGGAGGACATTGTTCATTTAGGCTGTTTGTGTTACATAACAGGTGATGGATATTTCTGGACTGTTCTCTTTCACCTCAGGTTCAATCGGTGGTGAATATGAATATGAGGTCCATCAGAACCACAGCGTGTTCCTATACCAGGAGGACTCAGACGAGCTTTATGTTGGAGGGGAAGACTTTGTGTTGAAACTGGATGCAAATAACTACCAGGTCTTAGAGGTAAGTCTTTCTAATCTTGTTTGAGTCACGTGCTGCAGCACACTCACTCCTCCTTGTGATTTGTTTGTGTTGCTCTCAGCTGTTTTGGGACCAGGCAGTGCATCTTGCTTTAATTAGATGGCACTGAAACAGATAGTTTACACACACACCCACACACACACAAACCTGTTTATTGTTTTGAGTCTGTCTGCCAGCACCCTCTGGCAGGTTGTTAAAAAGCTCAAATGTTCAGATCGCCCGCTGGTCTCGAAACTGCATGTTTAAAACATGTCTTAATGAAAAGGCAAGCTCGAGATGTTTGATATTTTATATAGCTTATTAGGATGAGCTTAGGTAGGAGTTATCTTGTGTGACATGTTACAAAAAAGTCAACTTGAGACTGGAAATGGATTATGCTGCTCAGATTATTCTCATCTTCAAGGTTCCCATCAACATAACAGGAAATAGGATTAATTTTAAAGCTATTTCTTGTTTTTATTGATTTCCTTGATAGAGATTTCCACTGGAAACGACAAGGGAGCAGCTGTGCCATGAGGTAAGTGACTGCCACAGAAATGTGCTTAACCTCCGATGTCCAAAATCGAACTTTAACTCAGTTGTGGCTGATGTTGAAATCTCTGTTTTAGGGTCCATGTAAAAATATAATCACTGTAATTGAGAAGTTTCAGGACAGCGTGTTTGTATGTGGAACGAATGGACTCAAACCAAAGTGCTGGAAGCTCGTAAGTGTCTGCATACGCCAGTGAATGTATTTGCACAGTGATTGCAAAGCCACCACATCTTTCACACACACACAACAGTTTTTGTGGCTTGTTGATGTAGCAGTGACAGCGGGGCAAAGCTGATTAAAGTGTGGCTTGGATCTAGTTCTAATAAAACTTTAATTAAGTGCCCTGCTCTATAATTAAGTAGCGTGTGTGCTCTCATTATTTGTTGACGCGTTTTCCATCACAGCTGTTGACTTTGCTTTGTTCCCTGTCATTCTCTATAGTTTCCCTCTATAAGTAATCAGACAAATGAAATAGTAGAGAGTTATGAGGGGACCGGCATCTCTCCATTTGTCCATACACAGAACTCCTTGTCGCTCACAGTAGGTACGTCAAACACAGACTTGAGCTTTTAAAGGTTTTAAAATGTGATTCGGTCGATTGAAATTTAAAGTGATCTGGGCATTTTCACTCTGTTTCATGTGATGTGCTCTTATTGTTTTTAGACCGGGATTTATACGCAGCAGCGCCTTTGGATGCTGATGGGGGTTCGTTACAGTTCAGGAGAAAAGCTGGCGACAGAACCAACGTCTGGATGCACGACAGCTGGGTCTCAGGTAAGAATAGATGCAGGTTATTTATTATTTAAGAGGGAGCACTTTACTGGGAGTTCATTACAACTGTGATGCATAGAGCAAAACAAAAACGTATCAAAAATATTTCCATACGTAGTACATGTACTTTGTAATGTATTTGGCTTTTTATAATGCCTTACATCTTTCTAGAACATCAAGTACAGCTACAATAACATCACACATGCTCATTCATGTCAGTGTCACGTCCAGCATGCTAATGACTGGTCTCTTTTCCACACCAGTTCAAGGACAAGCTTAGATTACAAGAGCAGTGTTTTCCTGAATGCACAGTAAAAAGGATGAGTCGGAGATTAGTGCCAACTGGACTGTACTGTGAAAGTGCGGACATGTTGTTTTTAAACGAAGCGGACCACATTTTGTGCACACACAGGCATTTTTGAGTTTGAGTGTGAAACTAATGAGGGCTGTGCTTAAACCAAAGAAAAGCTTTTCTTTAAAATGTATTAATACACTCCTGTACTTCGTTATTTTGTTGCAGCACGGACAAAATTATTAATCGTGTTAAACCTGAACAGCACACATCTTGTGCTTTTTACTCCTCACGGCTGCCATATTGTTTTTGTTTTGTTTTGCTCTCACCTTCCTTTTAATTCACACCATGGAGAGATTTAGTAAAAGAGACATCTTTTCACAGAGCCCACATTCATTTCGGCGAACTGGGTAAAGCGTGTGGACGACCCTGTAAATGAGAAAATTTACATATTTTTTCGTGAAAAGAACTCGGACCCCAGCCCAGAAGCCGACCCCTGGATTTCCCGAGTGGCCAGAGTTTGTAAGGTACGGTCCAAACAGGATACATCTGAGTACACATCAGTGAGCCTCATGTAAATGGCTGGAAAATAAAACAATGTATTTGTTAGATGCTGACACAGCGTGCGCTGTAAGAAAAGCTTCAGGGTGCCTTGGCATTGATTTTTCCAAGTCTTTGAAATTCTATAAGTGGAAGTCCTTTGAAAGCTATTCCCATGTTTGGTGTTTTGATAATAATGTTGTGGACTGAGGTCAAGAATCTATCAGAAGTCTAGTTGGATTGTTACTGGGTTACAGTAGAGTTCGGACCCAAAAAATCCAGCCCGACCCAGCCCCAGCCTGCAGCCATCATTTCTGAACCCCACCCGACCCGACGAATTAACAGTAATTACAGGTACGAACCCGAACCCCCTCCCCCAACATTTTTAATTGAACTTTGACTGCTTGTATACCATACTGAGAGGGTGTTTGTCATTTCATGGCCATCAAAGCACATTAACTCCCTGCTTCTGCCTGCATTCTGCATTATTCAGACACGGACCCTGCTCTGACATGTCGGATATTTTGGGATCTCACCTGTTTGAGTAGTCGGCCGTGCGCGTCTGCTGAGTGCAGCGGCTGAATAAACGTCCATTTGAGCTTTGATGGATCGCTGCCTGGCTGTATAGTCCATCTGAAGCCTAACTGAACTTTTTTTTTTTTTTACCTCTTTCAAGGCCGGTCAGCGCCTGGTCAAATGGCTGTGTGTGTCTGGTTAATGTATGGCAAGCCATGTCACCATATAATTAGATCGTGAGCCGCGCATGTCCACTGATGCAATCAAAAGCCCAACACCGGCTTGCACATTAAACACATTATTATGGCCCGGTCCTAATCTGTGTCGGGCCGGGCTCTGGGTTAGAAATGACAGCTATATTGTAAAGTGTATACAGATGATTTGGATATTTTTTCAATCCGTTTGAAGCATTCGGTGACTTCACAGGAACTATTGATGGAGATATTGTTGCCCGAGAAAGAAATGATCTCATTAAGACAGATATGATTCTTCATACAATAAGCAGTACTGCATAGGATCAGTTTGAATTTCAGTGCTAGAAAGTGTTTCTATATAGTACGGTTACACCATTGTTATATTTAAGTCAAAGGTAAGTGTAAAGCTGTATAACAATTAAAAGAGAAAAGCTACCTTAGCAACTTACTGTGTGAATAAAAAGAAAATCTGCCACTTAATTCATTGACTTTAAATAGTTCTTGATGACAAATTGCATATATTCTCACAGTTCAATCCTTTTCAGTCTTTAGTGGGACCTTAAGTAAAAAGACAACACTGTTGGACATTTAAACAGGTTATATGAGTTCTGTGATCTGTCAAATACAGTTTGTTGGTGTTAACTTGTACTCTGTTTCTAATAGGAACAATGTTCAAGTCAGAAACAGTTTATAGTTTAATCACTGGCTTTCTTTTCCATGAATTTAGGCTGTTGGCTGCTGCCATCATGGAAAGTATAATAACCTCACAGAAAATTATTTTTCTTGCTCTTTGATTAAAATAAAAAGGGGAACTAAAATGTTGTTAAGGTTTTCTGAGATCCATGTCAGATTCATGTGGAACGTACACATAAAGTTTTTTTTATTTTCCAATCTGCTGCGTGAGTGGCCTCATTCCCACCACACACACACGCACACACACACGCGCACAAAAAAAAAAAAGACTTTAAATTTTTGGACAAACTAACACAAAAAGGCGTTCTTGCAGTGTGATAGTGTTTACAAACGAGACCTGCCCTAAAGGTGGACAGATGTTATGTTTCAGTAGTTAGGTGGATGCTTCGTCCAAGGTGTGTGTGTGTATATAT